AACCTAGAGGGGTGGGATGGGCTTGGGGGCAGCTCAAGAAACAGGGGACGTGTGTATACGTGTGACTGATTCATGCTGTTGTGTGGCAGAAGCCAACACAGTATTGTAAAGCAATTATCCTCGAATTAAAAATAAATTTTAAAAAAGCTATAAGAAGAAACAATTTATGCTATTTGGCCATTGCTTCCTGTTTTTAGAAATGTAAGCATGAATTTCACTATTTATACTTTTTTAAATGGACTACTTCAATATTCTAAGATAAGAAAAATAAACATTTATTAGTGGACTTGCTTACCCCTCCCCTATTATTTATCTTTGACTCTCTTTTAATAATGAATATAAAATACATAATTCATGGAATGGAAAAAACATACTAAGCAAATAGTTAATCTATAAAATCACTTGAATATTAAAATAACAAAGAACAAAAGATAATAAAAACAAAGCCTACCTTCTAATACATTAAAAAAAATCATAATTATAAAGGTAACATGACCTTGTCTTTCCTTTTGAATGCTATGAAAAAGAATTAAATCAAATAAGTTTTGTTTTACTGTTGACAAGAATAGTCTATGCAACTGCATTGTAAGTGAAATATAGATTTTTAAATAAGGGATAATGATCATCATATGGCAGGTGGTATTTCTTAATCATGGTGTTAAAACTCTATTTCCTTTCCAGCATCTTGAATGCATTATAAATTAGGAATCAAGGCCCCAAAGGCATGAGATAATCTGAAAAAAATCTTAAGTTTTCTTTCTAAAGATCTCAACTAGGTCAGTTCTAATGATGATAATGCTTTATTAAGAGAAAAAGAATATACATACATTTGCAACTTGCCTGTCATCTTAATGTAAAGATGTAGTATAGGAAACCTGATAACAGAGACCAAGGTAATTCAGAGCAACCTGCCTATGGAATGCAAGTAAAAAATCTGGGCAAAATATAAAAAACATATGCTAGAAGGCACAGGAGAGTTAACAAGATCGTGAGGAATTATAGGCAAGTTTCAGGAAGAAGTTGAAGGCTCAGGAGAGTAATCTCTGCATTTATAGCTATTTCTCCCTTGGGGTGATTTGCTGATGCTGGAGGAGGTGGCAGAAAAGCTTAGCAACACTGTTGAGAGCTTTGTAGAATAGGAATGCAAGAACGAATTTAAGGCTACTATAGAGTTCTCTGTAAACCCTCCTTGAGTTGAATTCGGATACAGCTAAACTGAAGAGGGTAAACTGGGAGTAGTCAGGTCCTTGCAGAAGTGGAAGTTCACAAGTTTCAAATTATCTCAGGCTCTAAAATTGTACTGAAAAAATTTTAGACTGCTAACCACACAAGAAGTCTGGAATAAGCAAATGCAAATCCTCATTGAGGAAGACATTATTATTATAAGCTTTAAAGAATTTTATAAACAATTCTGAAAATATATGTGTGATGTACAAAAATTAGCATGCATTCAAGGCAAAGTACATGAAAGAAATCCAGCAGAAAGAGAACAGAAACAGACCTAGAAGGTTCTAGGCTTGGGAATTCTCAAAGATTTCACCTACTGTATTCAGTAAAAATTTTTGCAAAGAAATGGAAACTATAAAAAAGAATCAAATGGAAATTCTAGAACTGAAATATAAGTGAAATGGAGAACTTGATGGATTTAAGACCCATTTGACACTAATTTAAAGAGAAACTAAAATATGTGAAAAGAAATTTCCAGGAAAAGAAAAAACAATGAAAAGGAGAAGAAAGCAAAGGCATGGATAAGAGAGTAAGAAGGTAACATGCAGTATAACTGGAGCCTCAGAAGCAAAAAAGAGAACAAAAGTGGCAGAAGCAACATTTGAAGATACAATGGTTAAGAACTTTAAAAAACTGATAAAAAACAGTACAGACACAAATTCATTCACAAAACTGAATTTGTGAATGCTTCTGTGAACCCAGTAAGAGACAGAGAAATAAAAGTACATTTAGGTACTATATAGCAAAACTACTTAGACCCAAAGACAAAGAAAAAACATTTTAGGAAGCCAGAAAAGAAGGCAGATTATATTCAAGGGAGAAACATTTAGAATGAAAGTTGGCTTCAAAAGCAACAGTGAAAACCAGAAGATAATGAAAAATGTCTTTAAAGTGCTAAAAAAAAGAATATCACACTGGAATTCTATACCCAGCAAAACAGTCTTCAAGAAACTTAAGACAAATACATTTTAAGATCTAATTGAGGTTATGAAATATAAGATAGGGAGATTATCTTAGATTACCTGGTGGGCTCAATGTCATCATAGGAGCTTTTAAAAACAAAAACTTTCACTAACTGTAAGCAGGAGAGATAGGCAGAAGGAAAGCTAGGAGAGATTTAAAGCATGAGAATGACTTGCCTTTGTTGGCTAGGAGATGAAGTGATGAAGGGAGTCACATGCTAGAGAACAGATAGTGATAGTGAAGTCGCTCAGTCATGTCCAACTCTGCGATCCCGTGGACTGTAGCCCACCAGGCTCCTCTGTCCATGGGATTCTCCAGGCAGAGAACAGAGGTGACCTCTAAAAAATGGAGTGTCTGCACAATGCCAGGTACTTGAGCAAGTTCAGACTTGCTCTGAATTTGATCTATCTGGCTAATAGTCAATAAGAAAACAGAGACCTCAGCCCTACAGCCACACAGAACTGAATTCAGCTAACAATAGAAGCACATTCTCCTCCAGAATCTCCAAGCAGGAGACCCAGTTGGCTGACATCTTGATTTTAGCCCCTAAAACTAGAGGCAGAGTAACTAGCTGAGCCTGCTGGACTTCCGATCTAAAGAACTTTGAGATAATAAGCCAGTGTTATTTTAAATTGATATGTTTGTGTTAATTTCTTAGGGCAACAATAGAAGACTGACATAAATGGAAAAATCCAACAGTAATAGATGAGATTGTTAACAGTTCACCTCAGTATATGACAGAACATGAATTAAAAAATTAGTCAGTAAGAACATGATTTGAAGAACACAGCCAATTTGACCTGACTTAATATATTCTTTAAAAACATAATTGAAACATTTATACCAAATCTACGCTGGCTTTAAAGAAATCTTCACAAACTTCAGAGAACTGAAATCAGTAAAAATTAGTTTCAAATTTAAAAAGAATATACATTAGTTTAGTGTTGCTGTTCTTACGTTGGGTTAAGGTGAAGAAGAGACATAAAGATTTGTAAATGTAAAATTTCATAAATGTTTATATATGAAAATTTTTGGAGCCTGACAGATCAGTTTTTCAAGTTATTTATCCTCTGATCCAGGAAACTAATTCCTATGAAACGAGTACACATGTAGAAATGTTAACACAGTAGTCTCCCCTTACCCCACGGGAGGAAACATTCCTAGACTCTTAGTGGATACCTGAAACCAGACAGCACTGCAGCATATATTTCCTATTTTTTTTTTTTAATGCCTCTTCTTACCTGGAGAATCCCCTGAACAGAGGAGCCTGGCAGGCTGCAGCCCATAGGGTAGCACAGAGTCAGACATGATGGAAGTGACTTAGCACGCACACATGCACAAAGCAACTTAGCATGAATGCTTGCAATACCTACCTAAGGTAAAGTGTAATTTATAAATTAGGCAATAATTCTAAGAACATAATGTAATAAAAGTTTGCAAATGTGGACTCTGTCTCAAAATATCTTATTCTACAAAGTTAATGCCTTTTCCATCTTAACTAATCACTTATGCATTCTGACAGTAATTTTTGCAATTTGAGGTCCAAGAGCAAAAACTAACATGAATTTCTTCTTCCTTCTTCATGATTTCATGGATAGAATAGCTGTTCTTCCCCCAAATTTTAGCACCTCACATGTGATTTATTTTTCTTTCCTAATTAAGCCAAAAACTTTCACTTTTGTATCTAAAAGGAAGCTCTTAATGGATTCTCTATGGCATTACTGAATTGCTAGCATCACTTCTGCACTTTGGGGTTATTAAATAAAATACAAGTTACTTAAAAACAAGCACTGCAATACTGTGACAGCTGATCTGATAACCAAGATGACTACTAAGTGACAAACAGGAAGAATATTTTGGATAAAGAGATGGTTCATATCTTGGGCAGGACAGAGTAGGACCACATGAAATTTTATGATACTCAGAATGGTGAGTAATTTAAAACTGATGAAGTATTTATTTCTGAAAATGTCCATTGAACATTTTTGGACTTCAGTTTACTGCAGGTAACTGAAATGGTGAAAAGTGAAACAGTAGAGAAGGGAGGACTACTGTATACAGGTGTGTTCTCTGACATGCACTGTTCACCAATAGAACAATGGTTAAGTAAATGATTATACAACAATTCTCACAGCTATTAAAAAAATGCTAGATTCTTTATATATGTACCTGAAAAATGATTAAAATGTAACAAAAAGCTTAAAAGTTAGATTATCTGATACAAATATCATACACACACTGTAAAGATAACCAAACTGTTAATAAGCATTTATCTCTAACCTAGCATAGAAGACTGAGGTTCTGGGAAAAGCTGAAGAGGGCATTCTGCTTCTATATTATCTGAATATTTTAAAACAGAGATTATATGTTAGTTTTTCAATTAAAACACCCCATGCAACTTTTATGAAAGGAGAGATATTAAGTGATCTGTCAACAGAAAAACGGTAAATTCAACACTGTCAGTTGATCTTAAGAACCTACAAGATTGTTATTTATTACATAACATAATACTCTTAATCATAATCTTTAGTTTCTAATACAGGTAAAGTTTTAAAGAAGAGTGGACATAAAATTATCTTATCAAAAACAGGTAAAATAACTTCACTGCTAGCATTATTTAGAACATCAAGCATACTTCCTTTTATACCTTTGAAAGAGTGCAGTTAACTGAAATGATTCTGAAATTAATTCTCCCATTCTCACAAAATAGCAAAACTTCTAAAAAATTAACTGCTCTACTGATTGATATTACAAAGATTAATGTTTATAAATAATGTTTAAACACTTAATGAAATAAAAGCTGTACTTACAACAAGGAGAAGAATGAACTGGTCCAAGTTGTGGGAAGGTCATAAGAATAGAAACTTCCGGTAGATTATTTTGCTTTGCAGGTTCACTAGTTTGATCAGCCCAAACCACCACTTTTTTCCTCTCAACCAAATGTTCAATTTCTTTGATGTCAGACTCAAAAGTAGCATTTAACAGGCCAGATTCTTTTAAAGCACAGTACTGCTTTCTTAGGGCCGGAAGTAATGCATTCAATACTCTACATATAGAAAGTGACAAGAATAGAGAGATAAATACTAAATTTTAAATACAGTATTACAGATTTATGTAACATCCAAAGTATTTGTTGTTGTTCAGTCACCAAGTTGTGTCTAACTCTTTGCTACAGCATGAGCAAAGATGCCACTCTTTGCCTTGAACTGCAGCATGCCAGGCTTCTCTGTCCTTCACTATCTCCCTGAGTATGCTCAAACTTATGTCCATTGAGTCAATGATGCCATCCAACCATCTCATCCTGTCACCCTCTTCTCCCCTTGCCTTAGTCTTTCTCAACATCAGGGTCTTTTCCAGTGAGTCAGCTCTTTGCATCAGTTGGCCAAAGTATTGGAGCTCCAGCTTTAGCATCACTCCTGCCAATGAATATTGGGGGTTGATTTCCTTTAGGATTGACTGGTTTTGATCTCCGTGTAGTTCAAGGGACTCTCAAGAGTCTTCAACACCACAGTGTGAAAGCATCAATTTTCTGGTGCTCAGACTTCTTTATGGTCCATCTCTTACATCCACACATGTATGTGTAATATGTTCTTAGTCGCCGAGTTGTGTCCGACTCTTTGCAACACCATGGACTGTAGCCCACCAGGTTCCTCTGCCCATGGGCATTCTCCAGGCAAGAATATTGGAGTGGGTTGCCATACCCTCCTCCAGGGAATCTTCCCAACCCAGGAATCGAACAGGTCTCCTACACTGCAGGCAGATTCTTAACCATCTGAACCACCAAGGAAGCCCAAGAATACTGGAGTGGGTAGCCTATCACTTCTCCAGGGGAATCTTCCTGACCCAGGAATTGAACCAGGGTCTCCTGCATTAGAGGTCGATTCTTTACCAGCTGTGCTACCAGGGTAGCCCCACATCCACACATGCTGCTGCTGCTAAGTCGCTTCAGTCATGTCCAACTCTGTGCAACCCCATAGACAGCAGCCCAGCAGGCTCCCCCGTCCCTGGGATCCTCCAGGCAAGAACACTGGAGTGGGGTGCCATTTCTTTCTCCAATGCATGAAAGTGAAAAGTGAAAGTGAAGTCGCTCAGTCGTGTCCAACTCTTAGCGACCCATGGACTGCAGCCTACCAGGTTCCTCTGTCCATGGCATTTTCCCATGAGTACTGGAGTGGGGTTGCCATTGCCTTCTCTGGATCCATACATAACTACTGGAAAAATCATAGCTTTGGCTATACAGATCTTTGTTGGCACAGTGATGTCTCTGCTTTTTAATACAGTGTCTAGGTTTGTCATAGTCGTTCTTCCAAGGAGCAAGTGTCTTTTAATTTTTTGGCTGCAGTCACTGTCAACATTGATTTTGGAGCCCAAGAAAATGAAATCTGACACTTTTTCAACATTTTCCCCATCTATTTGCCATGAAGTGATAGGACCGGGTGTCAAGATCTCAGTTTTCTGAATGTTGAGTTTTAAGCCAGCTTTTTCACTCTCTTCTTTCACCTTCATCAAGAGGCTCTTTAGTTCCTCTTTACTTTCTGTCATTAAAGTGGCACCATCTGCATATCTGAGGTTGTTGATATTTCTCCCAGCAATCCTGATTCCAAATTGTGATTCAAAGTATTAGCAGATGATTAAAATAGTTCACTGTACATATCTTCCTTTAGAAATTTCAATCAAATACCTCTCATCAAATATCTTTAACACATTAAATACAGATTGGACAGTACTTTGTATGGGAATTATAAGAACCAGGCTGCAGTGTCGGCTAGTCTTCACTTGCTTCTATTTGACCTTGGATGAAGTACTAACTGAGGTTTCTCCTCTGTAATATGGGGTACAATTGGACAGCCACTACTTTCAACAGGGGACTGTTTTCAGAACTAAATTTCATATAAAAGACTTTTACAAAGCATAATGTTATTTAAGAATAAAAAACTGTGTTGTGGACTTCCCTGGTCGTCCCTGGTTATGAATCTGCCTCATAATGCAGTGAGCACGGGTTGGATCTCCGGTCTGGGAAGATTCCACATGCCAAGGGGCAAATAAGCCTATGTGCCACAACTACTGAGCCTACACTCTAGAGCCCATGAGCTGCAACTGCTGAGTCCCTGTGCCTACAGCCCATGCTCTACAAGAGAAGCCACTATATGAGAAGCTCCTGCTCATCCCAACTAGAGAAAGCCTGCATGTAGCAATAAAGACAGCACAGCAGAAAAAAGAAAAGTGTTGCTATTGTTACTAAACATTATGAGATTGAAATGAAATATTAATACACTCTGTCAAATGATGAAGCTCATCTTAGGTATATAAGATTAAAAAAAATTAACAAATGAACAAAACTCACCTCTCCTTGAAGTTAGTTCTTTATGAGCTAAAGCAATAATTTTCAAAGGCATTCAAAGGAGAAAACTGCAGAAAAGTATGGTGGGTATAGGGCTTCTCTGGTAGCTCAGCTGGTAAAGAATCCGCCTGCAATGCAGGAGACCCGTGCTCAATTCCTGGGTCAGGAAGATCCCCTGGAGAAGGGATAGCTACCCACTCCAGTATTCTTGGGCTTCCCTGGTGGCTCAGATGATAAAAAAAAAATCTGCAGCAATGCAGGAGTCCTGGGTTTGATCCCTGGGTTTGGAAGATCTCCTGGAGGACAGCATGGCAACCCATTCCAATATTCTTGCCTGGAGAATCCCATGGACAGTGGAGGCTGGTGGGCTATAGTCCATGGATCGTAAAGAGTTGGACGTGATTGAGTGACTAAGCACAGCACAGCACAGCACATGGTGGATATAAGAAAAAGATGGGATGCTGGATGCTTAACTCTGATTCAAAATCCATCCCTGCTGTCAGTCAGGGGAGTACTAAACATTTTTTATGTATTAGACCTCCATGAAGAATATTTGCTGAAGAAATGCCAGCAACTAAAGTTATAAATGGTTCCTAACTTTTATACTAACAAGATGTCAGACAACATGAATAACTTAAAATAACTTAGTCCTGGTGTTCCATATTACTCATGATGTCCAAAAGAACAGAACCATTTGAAGTATGGATAAGACAGTGGGAAAATAGGCATTTTAATTTTAACACACTGGGAAATAACTGCTTTATTATCTAGGAATCTTAAATATTTAGATAGCTGTACAAATAAATAGTTTGTGATATTTTTTCTTTTTGGTGATTGTGGGGAGTACTCCATTTAAGCACAGTAGGTAACAATTGTAAGGAAAACTTGTTAGTCAGAAAGCTAATAAAAACAATTATTTGTTGAGCACCTATACTAATCAGATGCTATACAGAGAAGAGTTAACACAGCAGGTCTGAAGCTGACATCCTTTGAAAGGCTTGTCAACAAGAATGGTTCTCAGGTGGTATCTTGAAACAGATTTTGAGAAGTTCAGATAATTCTCAGAACTATTAAGAGTTGCTCACTGTGTTTAACTCTGTACAACCAATGTGGTTTATGCTAAACAACTGCTTTCCTTTTAGAAAGGTTAGAATTTGCGGCCATCGTGCTTGGCAGAGAGTACCTATGCAACCAGCTCCCAATGAAAACCCAGGGCACCAAGTGTCAGCCTAATGACATTCCAAAGTAAACACCATTTCACATGGGTCATCACAACTTTTGCTGGAGGACTTAAACACATCCTGTATGGTCCACAGGATGAAGACACAAATGCCTGCAACTAAGTGATTTCCTTTGTACTTTGCCCCATTCACCTCTTCCTTTTGTTGATTCTGTCTTACCTGATTCTGTTTTACTCTAATAAACCAGAGGAGCCTGGGGGGCTATACAGTTCACGGAGTTGGAAACAATCGGACACAAATGAGCAACTAAACCACCACCACAGGGTCAGCCATATGATGGATTCTTTGAGTCATTCCAGTAAATTATCAAACATGGAGGTGGTCTTAAGAGGCTCAGGACATGTGCCATGTATTCATGTATGTATGGCATGTTTATTTGTATGTATTTATATATTCATTTGGGGCTTCTCTGATGGCTCGGATAGTAAAGAATCTGCCTGCAATATGAGAGACCTGGGTTTGATTTCTAGGTCAGAAAGATCCCTTGGAAAAGGAAGTGGCAACCCCCTCCAGTATTCTTGCCTGGAGAATTCCATGGACAGAAGAGCTTGTCCATGGGGTTGCAAGAGTAGGACATGACTTAGCGACTAAACCACCTATTGGATATTCTTGGCTACTTGGTTATAAATTAACTGACCATATATGCATGGGTTTATTTCCACGCTCTCTATTCTGTTCCATTGATCTATGTGTCTGTTTTTGCACCAGTACATACTGTTTTGATCACGACTGCTTTGTAATGTAGTTTTAAATCTGAAAGTATGATCTCTCAAACTTTGTCCTTCTCAGGAATGCTCTGGTTATTTAGAGTCTTTCCTGGTTCCACATGAATTTTAGAATTATTCACTCTAGTTCTGTGAAAACACCTCCTATTTTACATCTTTTTATCTTGTATATTCCTTAAGTAATTGTTATTATTTACAGTTACAGTTATTTTCACTACTTTATTTTAACCTTCATAGCAGCATTCTAAGTGATTAAAACACTACCTTTACTATATGTTCATTTTTACCAATGAGATTTATACTTTCACATTTTTCTTGTTACAAATTAGTGGCTTTGCTTTTCAACTTAAAGGAGTCCCTTTAACATTTCTTAAATGGCCAGTTTAGTGGTGATAAACTCTTTTAACTCTTGGTCATCTGGAAAACTCTTATTTCTTCTTCAATTCTTATTGATAACTTTGCTAGGTAGTCTTTATAGCTGAAAATTTTTTCTTTCAGCACTTTGAATATACACACAATCATTTTTTTTTTTTTGGTCTTCACTCTATAAGCTCAGACTAAGACAGTTAATCACATCTGTTACTTTTTGTTATTTAATCCTTACAAACTTGTTATAAGGAAAGTGTTACAATTGAACAGACAAGAAAACTAAAGGTTAGTGAGGCAGGATAATTTTTGCAAGGTTATCAGGCTTACATAAACTAGAACTCAAGACCAACTTCAAAACTCATACTCTTTCTACTATATTGCATTGTCTCTGTTTTAGTTCATCAGTTTTCTAAGTAAATAAGAGAATTTTTGCCCATTTTGAGGCAAAAATTTATATTAAATATATTAATCTATTTTTATGATAAACCAAATATAGTATGGTTGAAATAAATTAATGTTTCTTTGATAACTTTTAACTCTTGCAGGGGGTGTGAGTGCAAGTAAATGAATGTTCAATGTTTGCTCTGTGTATAAATATAGGAAGTATGGGGAGAGCAGGGTGAGCTTCTATCCATAGGATAATATTTCCCTAAAGTTTTTCCTTTTTTCTTCTTCTTTTTAAAAGTAATTATGCTAATATAATTTCCCTTAAATCAAAAGTATGGAAAATTAATTATTGTTATTTGAGACCACTAGAAGAACTCCAGTAGAATTTTAGACTGGCAGAAAGCCTTTAGAGAAATAAATTTGTTATTTTTACAGAGCATGAAAGTGACACCTAAGGAAGTTGACTGACATATCCAATGTGATAAAAATAAAGATCAAGGCATACTTTTTTACTATTATGTTTCAAAAATTAAAAGGAGCATGAATGAGATAATATAGAATCACTTAAAAATTGGGACAGGATGTTAAAAAATATATTTTTTTAAATGACTTCATTTTAATGATAGCAAAAAATCATTCTGGAATTATGAATGCTTAAAAACTGTCTACTTAAAAATTGAGTTGGTATTAATAGTAGTAGTTTCCAAGAAGGGGAAAGGATGGCTAGAGGACAGGTGGAAGACAGGCTCCTTTTCACTGTACAGGGATCTTTGGAATTTTGTATTACATGACATATATTGCATAAAAACAATAAATTAAAAAAGTGCTTTCAAAATTATAAAGCACTGTAAAAAAATCAGAGGAGAAGAACCACATCCTTTACACTTGCTCTGTGTTTTCTAACTCAGCATGCTTTCTGATGCTGGCAGACATTTAAACAGTACTGTATTTTGTACTGGATAAAACTGAATTTTTTGGCAATGGAAACCTAAACTTCTATGCTTCAGTTTCCTTAGGTCTACAGTGTTAAAATTTTTAGAACAGGTAAACCCATGTACTTACGCTTCTGTCTGCCTGTGTTGCTGCTCTTGAAGAGAAGCTAGATCCATCATATGTTTAATTTGTGCTTTCAAATCTTTGTTCTGGAGGTGAAGATGGTGGCAATGAAGTTCTTTACTCAGCTCCTGGGGAAAACAATACAAACTATACCTCAGATTCTTTTAAGAATATTAAAGTTAAATCAAATAAGTTTTTATTTTATATTGGTGTTAAGAGTTTTAATTCTTAAAAATATGAAGTGGTATGTACAGAAACAATTTGAAAAACAAGTATTCTGGTACAGGTAGTCTATAACTTACAAGTGAGATAAGTTTCAAGTTTCCTTGGAAACTGAATGTCTCAGAACAAATTTTATTATAATAATAGCTTCTTGGTCTATCCAACTTGTATATAATACTGTGAAAATACATTAATTTGGTCCATTTTTGCTTAAATGTCACTTTTTCAGGGAGGCTTTCTCTAAGCATTACATTTAAAGATGGATACTCTTCACCTCCAACAGTCTATGTCATAGCATTAATTAGTAAAATTCCATTTATTTATTTGCTAATAGATTCTCCATTCTAGACCACCATGCCAGGCCTTGTCACAAACTAGTTCAGTGTTTGGAGTTGTCAACTGTCTCAAACTGTCCAACTATGCCCAACAACTCCAGTGTCTGGAGTTGCATACAATAAAAATTTCTTGGGGAATTCCTCAGCAGTCCAGTGGTTACAGCTCCACACTTTCAAAGCAAGCGACACCAGTCAGGGAACTAAGATGAGGCCTGGTGCAGCAAAAAAAAAATTTCTCACCTTCGCCCAATCTTGGTATAAACTTCATCCTAGTGCAAGAGTGTAGAAAAGTTTTTGCAGTCTCCCATTTCCTAAGCCTTTTGTGCACATGCCCAAATGTTTTCTAATTTACCACCTAAATTATTTCTCTTTCCTCAAGCCTACTAAGCCTTAAGCATGGAAAACGTCAGGTAAGTGGTTATACTAAATTATGAATGGTAATAATCCAATAGCATTTCAGAATTTAAATTGGGAAAATTTTAGTCAATAAAAGAGAGTGAAATATTTTGGACATTGTAAGAGGCTGAGACAAAAAGCCTTATGGTAGCTGTGCCCAAGAAACCTCCTACAGATAACTCTCATAATCCACTTTAGGTGTTCAATACTCCTTTACCAGACCTACCAACCAACCCAGTCAGTTGGCCACTGACTCTATAAGTTTAAGACTTTTTTCTTTTTCTTTTTAGGTAATACTTCCTAAACCAGTGGTGGGTGCTTTGACAAAGAAACAATACAATTCTATATGTCTGAGATATACTAAAGTTGGGGGTTGTTTATCTACATGATTCATGATTACATTTCAGAAAACAGCAAGTATTTTAGAGCAAACTCTCTTCAGGGAGTCAGGTCAGGATGATACAGTTAGAGCACTGGCTCATGAGTCATGTGATTTTAGAGATGGCTCGACTATGACACAAATGCTACCTGAAGTCCCAAATATGGTCTTTATGGAGATGAGTTTACTTGACTGAAAGTTAAGAGATTTACTCTTTCATCTTTTCCAGTTAGAAAATTCAACAACCCTGACAAGTACAAACATATTTGACAAATATTCCATCTTCTCTCTTAAAAAAAAAGAAAAATCCCGTATTTACTTCTGATAATCTTGTTTTATCTTTCTGTATCACTCTTAAAGAGACAAACCTTGATTGTATAACTATTTTATCCAATAATAATTCTTGGCTAGTCTGTCATCTTTGAAAAACCAAGTTAACAATTTTAATCTTTTTCATGCTTTGATACACTAATGATTGAATCCAATTGGAAGAGCATAGCCTATCATGAGAGCTACAGTTAAGTTAGCAGTAGCTGAAGTAAGAATATAATTAGAGGTAATATATAAAATGAGAGGTTTTTGGATGTCATGCTAGGCCTGGGAAATCATAATAGAAAGTTTATATATGGGAGAAAGCACTGAAGAGTGATACAATCAAAGTTACTTTTTAGAAAGCTCATTTTAGTTGCAGTGTAGAGAATGATTGCAGTAGAATATGAATGGAAGCAGGAAGGTCAAACAGCAGTCCAGCAATGGGGGCTGGAAGTCTGAATTAGGGTAATGGTAATGGGAGATACAGAAGTAGATAAGTTTAACAGGTTAAGAGGAAGATAATGCAGGAGGGTACAGAAAAAAGGGCAGCAATTTGAAAGTCACAGTACTGGGTCTCTGTCTAGAGTTGTATGACTGTGAATAAATCTTTTCACAAAGTTATGTCTCAGTTTGCTTATATAAGAAAGAATGGCTTAAAGAGTAGATACCCCCCAAAAAAAAATTAAAAAAAAAAGTAGATACCTATTTCAGCTATGAAAATATCCACAAAAAAAAGGACTGAGAGTGGGAAAGGTTGATGAGAATAGAAACAGTTTTAATTTTTTCAAATTATTTATAATGAAATGCACTAAAAAACAAGAATTGAAACACTAGTTCTAGATTCATATTTAGGTGTGAAAAGTTCTGCTTAAGAGAGTTACAGAAGACAGACTGCTAGAAAAATTAGATTGGACTATGGTAAATAAAGTTTAAATTTACTGAAAAAAACCGAACAATATTAACTTCATAAATGCTAATAGCTAGGCAAAAAAAAAAAAAAAAACAAGCAATAATAGTACTATTAAAAAGAATACTGTACCATTTTAAAAATTGGGAGCTTAAGATAATTACGGGAAAACAAAGGCAAACTAGTAAACATCAATGGATTTTTTTGCTTTTTTAACACTAAACAAGTACTTACGTACTTCTTTAGTTGGAGACGGGCTATATTTTAGACTGTCAATTACATGAATATACTAGATTATAAGTATAAAGCAAATTATACTTAATTTACATTCTAGATGGACTATTTTCAATTCACTACATAAACATAAATGCAAACAGCTTTCAAACTGGTTTTATTTGGCTATAATACAAATAATGGTGACATTTAAAACTAGTTTTAAAACTAATATCAATTTATTAAATTTAAATCACCTACATGATGAAAATTTGAGCACAGTCTGAAAGTCTGAAATAGAATTACTTCAGTCTGACTTAAGAACGACCTCATAAAAGGATGCAATCACTTAAGAAAAACATTAAATGTAACTTTATTCTTCTGAAAGCAAAGAAAAAGAAATTTAGTAGGTAAATAGGGAGATAGAAGGCATATTCAGTTAAAACCAGTAAAATGAGTCAGTTAAATCTGAGAGAGATGAACAAAAATTTGCCTTATGAAAGATATTTACACAACAGTGAGTTTAAGGAGTTCAGTTCTAAGAAAATAAATTTGAATATAAAGCACGTATGTACCTTTGGAATATGACCATTTTGACCTAAGAGTCCCATTTCAGTTTTGACACGATGGAGCCAATTAGTATTCTCATCAAATTGCTTCAATTCTTCCTCCCTTTTCTTCTCTAGATAGCAACGGCGAGTTTTCAACATTGCAAGTCTGTGATCTCTTCTGCAAGTGGCCTGAAAAATAATGCATTTAATTGTCAATCTTTTGTGATATTTGATATATGTGATATTAGTACAGTGGTATATTTCCTTTTAAGTGTGCTACTGTAGCCTATTAAATTAGGCTATACTTTTATGCTTAAAGTTATTTCCCCTTTGAAATCTCACAATACTGCTGCTTGCAGGAAAATAGGAAATTGAGTTGTGAGTCATTTTTATAAAATTACTTGTTCAGAGTTTATGACTTTAAGAAAAACAATGGCCAAATTGAAGACTATAACTTTTTTGCTGTTGCTAAAATATATGCTTTTAAATGTTGCATTTGAAAAGTTCATATGGGGCCTGACTCTTGTGATTTCCTTATTGAAAACAAAGCAGATGCATGTACTGCTCTTATCTTGTCTTCAGTTTGAAAGATGTGAAGAAACAGTATTCTATTGTTCTAAGGTTTTGTCTGTAAGGACTTTAGACTGGCTGCTGTCAAAGACAGAAAACAGACTTTATATCTGAGTGTAATAAACATCTGATGTCACTTGATGGTTGGTTCAGGACACATAATGGGTAGTCCAAATATTTTTGGTGTTTTATCTACACATGAATTGAGTTCAAAACTGGCTTTCTAGTTTTTTACCTCAAGGGTCCTGCACACTATCATGAGCACAATGTGGCAAAATGGTAGGACTTCTTTGGGCTAATTGCCCAAAGTCACTAAACTCAATAATCATCAGATATGATGGCTGGACCTGAGACAATACATCTCGACAGGTTAGAACAAGCACTCGCAGCAGTTTTCGAAGTAGGGATAAACATACCCTATGGCGGGAAAAAAAAATGTAAAAGGAGCAGGCACTATATTTGAATTGGATTAAAAGCCTCACTCTCTAACTTTCTTATTAGCTTTCATAAAAGGTAAGTTGATATTTTGAGGAAAAGCCAGGCAATGAAGAAATCTGCAAAAACAGGAAATAATGTCACTCTTCTCACTGCCTCTTTCCGTTTTAGAAAACAACTGTTTTCATTAAAGTGTTACTTATGTTGTCATGCAATGGATAATTAATTGTTCTTAACTAATACATAACGTACTTTTGAAAATCTCAGTTTAAATTTCAAATAGAATATTGGTAGATGAAATCCACATAAACAAAAGCTCTTTAAGGTTTTTAAATTTTATTTTAAAAGTAGCATGGGGTCCTGAAACCTGAAAAGTTTAGAGCCACTGATACAACAGAAGGTAGGATACACAGCTTCTTGACTTTTCCTGCTGTGCAGCAGGTGTGAACATTTAGGCAAGTCAAATCTGTGTGGCTCTTCAGTCACCTTATCTGAAAAATGAACATAAATGTATTGTAGCTGCCTGAAGGAAGGCAATTAAATCAAACTACCTTCATATTTCTCTAATGTTTACAAATATTGTAGATACTCTTAGAAATCAGGGCAGGAAATGATCTATGGGTCTGATGCAGTCAATATTGAACACTAAAAAGTTTTGACTGAAAATCTCAAGAAATATGTTTTTGAGTTTGTACTTATGTTCATGAAATGTATCCTCTATGATGGTTCTTTATGGGGACATTTTTCGTCAGGGTAATCCCTACTGAATTACTGTTCTGAAATAAATATCAAGCAAGTGTTTGGAAATAAATTCTAAAATATGTATATTAAACCCTCACATTAAAGTAAATTGTTTCCTATTAAAGTTTCAAAGAAGCTTTATATGTTTTATTAATACAATTTCCAAAATACCATAAAAGGACTTGAGTGAGAATAAACATGTAATTATAAAATTTACGTATTATAACACTACTGTTTTGTGCAAAAGAACTGACTACTAACACAGTGAACTCATTATTTCATTAATATAATTTGTATATTAACTCTATACATTCATAAAATTACCCAGGAGCTTCACTTCAATACACTTCTCAGAGTCCACATTCTAGAACCATTCATAGCTGAATCAATGAGATTCTTTTAGCAATTATGAGAGTAAACCTCTTTGGAGAGGGTCCAAGACAGATATAAAATCCCTTACCCTAGCAAGCAGTTCAGTAAAACTATACTTTGACAATTCTGTGAGAACAAACTAAATCTGTAGATATCTTTCTACATTTTTCAGTAGTTTACAGCCAATAAACTTAAGAGGTTTTATCTCCATTGCTTACTTAGTCTCATGGGAATAGCTATAAAAATTGGAAAAGCAATTGAAATGACCAAAAGTGAGGTATGAGAAAAGGCAAATGTATTGAAAAAAGCAGAACAAGGATGCAAACAGAAAAAAAGAAATCAGCCAAACCTATTTCCTCACTCGATGTCTCAATTTTTCCAGTCACACACATTGACAATTCAACAGGGTAAGACAGAGAAAATAACTATTATGTAAATTAGCTTGGGATTAAATAGACCAAACTTATTAAATGTACTAATATTCTAATGTTCAAAAAATGGCAACCTGAGTCTAAGCTCTGCTAATACACTACTTATTTGCTTCAAAGATTGCCTCTTTACTATAAAAATAGACTATAAAATTCCTGGTAACCAAAGCTTCCAGAATTTGGCACTCCCTTCTAAATAGAATTGATTAATTCCCAATATGGCAAAATATGTCTTGTATCATGTGTGATCTCCAATCTATTCACAGTGGTTAACTATGGCTACTTCAGATTCAGAGAGGAAGAGTGCTACAACCAGTTCAATGGTATCTACTAATGGCAAAGGGTGGGAATTGGCAGGAAGTGTTGAATATAGTTATGGACGACATTGTGCTCTGGTCAAATTGATGTTCTGTTTTGATTATTGTATTCCTTTTTATTTTTTTTTCCACTAATAGTTCTTATACAGGGTTTCCCAGGTGGCACTTAGTGGTAAAGAACCTGCCTGCCAATGCAGGAGATGTAAGAGATGCAGGTTTGATTCCTGGGTCAGGAAGATCCCCTGGAGAAGAGCATGGAAACTACTCCAGCATTGCCTGAAGAACCCAATGGACAGAGGAGACTGGTAGGCATACCAGTCCATAGGGTTGCACAGAGTCGGACATCACTGAAGTGACTTAGCATGCATGCAATATTTTCATAAAAATGCCCAGGATAAATCTCATCTCTCTACTACGAAGCCTTTCTTCACCACAACCAGAAGTCATTGTTTTTTACTTTGAATAGTTTTAGCACTTAGTACTTATAGTAGAGTAAAAGTGCAGACTGAGGCCAGATAGCCAGAGTTTAATATTGGCTTGGTCATATTGATTAGGCATATCTCTCTAGACAGCTTACTTGAATTCTCTGTATCTTTGCTGCTCACAAACCATGGTAATAGAGGATATACCTCATAGGCTTGTTATAAATACTAAAGGAAATACCCCATGCAAAAGACTTTGAAAAGTGTCTGGCAAACAATTAATGCTCAATATTAGCCATTTTTATTATTGCATTACTCCTTACATAACAATCGTACAGTGCTGTGTTATTTTTATATCATTTTATTGCTCCAACTAGTTTATAAATTACTGAAGTACTATAATGTCTCATATTTTTGTTTACCTCTATTGTGTCTAGCACAATGCTTAGGATATACATAAAAGTGTTCAAAACAAGCTATTCTCAATCAGCTTTCCATGACTGAATTTCTTGCCTTTTTTCAAGACATAAATCAGATAATTGCACTTTCAGAAAATTGGCATTCATTTAAAGGAAACCTACACAAAATTGAAAAATATCATACCATAAATATAGCAAATGCAAATAATTGAGACATAACATACAACTTTTAGAATAGGTAATACAGCAGTTTTTCAGAATTCCATTTAACAAACACATGTAGGGATTTCATAATAACAAACTGATATATTGGTTGGTCAAAAAGTTTTTTTTGCTTTTTCAAAAAATCTTGAAATAAACTTTTTGGCCAACCCAATATTAATCCTATGAGATGTTTTATTATTTGGAAGTCATGAAGGTTATCAAAAATAGTGGCAACAATCTTGTAATTCAAGAAAGTTAAAGTACATAGCAACAAATTTTAAACAAGGATATAAATTCTAGTCTTCTTCTGCCTTAAAATGATGTGAGGAACATTTTAAATACACTTGAAAAACAAAATTAAAAAGAAATTTTCAGTACTCAATACATTACTAACTATGGGCTCTATACTGTACAGTAGCAGATCTCTAGGGTGCATTTGTCTTATATAACTAAAACTTTGTACCCTTTGCCTAGTACTTCCTGATTTTGCCTTCCCCATAACTCCTGGCAACACCATTCGATTCTACTTCCGAGTTTGATGATTTTAGATTTTTCATATAAATAGTATCAGGTAGAATGTGTCCTTCTTTGTCTGGCTTATTTCACTTAGCATGTCTTCCAGTTTCACCTATGTTGCAAATGGCATGATTTTCTTCTTTTTTAAAAGCTGAATCATAGTGTATTGTTGTATACTTAAGAATCACTAAGAGGACAGATCTTATGTTAAGTGTTTCTGTTAATATAATACTACTATTAATAAAGTGGGTGGGAGGAAACTTTAGGAGGTGTGATACAGGATTATGGCATAGATTGTGGTGATGGTGTCACTAGTGTATATTTATCTCCAAACCTGTTAAGTTGTCTATGCTAAATGTTTGTGAATTTCTTTACACATCAATCATATATCTCAATAAAGTGGTTTAAAATAAACATATTTTCAAAAAGTCATAATAAGTGCATATTCAGTAAATTACTGGTTTTGATAATCAGTTTAATAGTAACTGGTTGATATTCTCATATCCATGACACATTATTAATACTTTATGATTAATTTCTTAGCCTATTACATCTTTCTCATTTCTTGGGCTGAAAAAATCTAAAATGCTAGTTTTTTAAAGCACTATAAAAGTTTGATGGCTTTCAGATATTAAAAAATATGTAAAAATTTTATAGATAACTGTTATTTCTGGGAAAGTGGGGAAAGAAAACTCGGTTTAGGTGGAAGTCTAACAGGACTGGGGGTTATCTACAAAAACAAGGTTTTAATAAGTAATATATGAATGCATTTCATGTATTTAATCTCAATGTGATTAAATTATATAAACTACTTTGAAAACACATTAAATTACAAAAGTACTTAAAAATACAATTAACCTTATCATCAATGAATACCAAAACTAGGGGGAATCCATTATTTTCAAAATGCTTTTTTTTTTAAACCACAAGAAGCCATTCAGTTTTATTGATTAACATGTATGAACATCACACAGTCAGAATAAAGCCTTTTATACTCCATTGTGTAACTTTGATTAAAAGACAGATTACAAGCATAAACAATATTCATTCCTCTGATATAATGATCTGAGAACTGTGATTTCTATGGTTACAAAATGGAGGCTAATCATTTAAGAAAGAAGACTTCCAATAATTACAGGAATTTTCTGGGAAGGGTTTCCCATACATTTTAGGGTATCAGAAGTTATTTGAAATATGTTAAACACTCATAATTTATGCTGATATTATAAAACACATCAAGATTTCAGTGAACTGTCATTATATTAACCTTTAAAAGCATAACTTAATAATTTACATGTTTAGTATGTGGAATTATTTTTTTTTAATTATTTTTCTGATTTTTGGTACTCTGGAGTTACACACCTCTAAGTATACATTCTTCTTTTCTGCTTAGAACTCATGTTTCTTGAATTTACATTTTATTGACAACTTATTAGTTCTAGAAAATTCTAAGCCTTACCTTAGAGTTTGTACATTATCCTTTCCTCTTTTGCATTAACATATCTCCTTCAATATATCTAATAGATGAATGCATGGCTTTCTAGGTTTTTTTCACATAACAACATCCTGTTCACATCTGCTCTCTTTTTACTTTGTATTTGGTGTGATTTCCTCAGCTCTCCCAGTTCTTTAATTCTCTCTTTGTGTGCTGTGCTTAGTCACTGAGTTGTGTCCAACTCTTTGCAACCCCATGGACTGTAGCCCGCGAGGCTCTTCTGTCCAGGGGCAAGAGTTCAGGCTCCGGAATCAGCCTGCTGGAGTTCAGACAGTAGCTAGGTCTCTATGAGCTGGGTGATCTTTGACAGAATGACTTCTCTGGGCCTTGGTTTCCTCATTTTAATTACAAGGATAATAATATTATATAGCCCACAGGATTTTCGGAGAATTAAACGTGTTAATGGATGTCAAGTATTTAAAATATTGCCTAGTACTACATCTATAAATTGAAATTTTAAATTCCAGTAAATAAATCTTTAATTTCTAGAAGTTTCATTTGTTTTCTTCTCATATATATATTCTTTTCATCTTTGATTCCTTCTTTGATGACTTTGTTTTTATAGGTTTTATCAGTTTGTTGTATCTTATGTTTTGTAGGGGAGGGGGTTGTTATATTTGCTAAGTCTGCTGACTTGCCTGTGGAGGATTGTTTCACGTGTTTTGTAATTTTGGACAGTGAGCTCTCATTAATGGTTTGAATTGAAAATCCAAACCTAGGCTTGTTTCACTAGGCTGATTTTATATTGCTTCCACTCAGTTCCCTATAGATTATTACTGCTCTGATACCATTTCCTATGCTAATTTCTCACTTTAGGGATTTGCTAAATAAAACAAATGGACTGTAAAAATTCAAACCTCAAAATCCTGTGAAAAGTATATCAATAATGATGGTCTTCAAAAGAGACTTTCCTTTTTGACCCTAGGCTTGGTTTCTTGTTTCCCTGTGCTAGTTGATAACATGTTTTCTTCCCTGCTGGCTCAGATGCTAAAGCGTCTGCCTACAATGCAGAAGATCCGGGTTCAATCCCTGGGTTGGGAAGATCCCCTGGAGAAGGCAATGGCACCCCACTCCAGTACTCTTGCCTGGAAAATCCCATGGACGGAGGAGACTGGTAGGCTACAGTCCATGGGGTCGCAAAGAGTTGGACACGACTGAGCGATGTCACTTTCACTTTCTTTTCTGGTGTACTTCCAATACGAAGAGGGAAGGTTTCCTAGTTCTTGGACTGTCATTTCTAAATCTCTGTCTCCCTTGGGACCCTTATCTAAGTAGTGGTGTACATCAAGCAGGATAGTGAAAGTGGTCTGTGTGTATGAGGGGGACAAAAATGCACTTTACTACATTAAATATTAAAACTGATTAAAAGTTTGATTAAAAGTTTATCTTTTTTTTTTTTTTTAAGTACTGATGCAATGGAAATAGTAACAGTGTTAGTGACAAAACATTCTTCTAGGGTGGTGATGGGATGGAGTGGGTGCAATCTCCTACTGATCTAAGCTGTAAACTGCTGCCTGCCTCTGGGGTCAATTGTTCTCTCTGCTGCACTCTGGTACCCAACTCTCCCTGACTATGTTAACTTCTTGTTAACCATTCTGTCAACCCTCACAGAAGCAATAGATTTAACTGAGATTTTACAGCTATTTCCTTTTTCTTTCTGACACTTAGGTATTTATTTATTTTTCTTGTACACTTAATTATACATTTCAAAAAATGTTCTCACTATTCCCTCTAGCATTTCCAGGTATTTGTAGATGAGTGATTATGTAACACTATCAAATTTCTAGAATTATAAGTCTCCATGTTTTTTACCATCTCTAGGAATTAATGATAAAGTTGTTAAATACCTTTTCTACTTTGTCTTCAGAACACATCATTTCTATTTGTTTATGGCACTGTTGTTGATAGAATGACTTAAGTTCATTTTCTTTAAGCAACATTTCTAACTTCAGATATTCTTGCCGGATTTCTTCTCGATTCTGGAACAAGCAGTTTAGAATTTCTTGAAATCTAACAAAAATAAAACACAGAATCTCAGGATTTTGTGATAGGTAATGCAGTTTACTTAGAGAATTGCATGAACAAGGGCATATGGTGCTTCTATGGCCCCCTAGGGAAAGTGAGATAGCTGGTAAAGGGTTATGAACATTATTTTTCTAACATTGGGTTTTTTTTCTTTCTCTCGTCTCTAAGAAAGATCATGTTATTAAAAGATATCAGTATATTAAGGTCTCTGGTATCAGTCATACACTATATTTTGTCTGTGTAGTTCAGTAACTTACCAAAAATGAAATACTTTGTTTGTGAGGAAAGGATGATAATGTGGACTTGCACTATATCAGTTCACAAGGCCCCAGAAACACAGTATTGTGTGTTGTTTTGGTGTTGGCTCGCTGTGAAGAAGTAAGCAGTGTGTGGCATAATCATATGGTGCCTCTATGGCCCCCTAGGGAAAGTGAGATAGCTGATTTTTAGCTTCAGAACTTGTTACAGTGAAAACACACCATAAGGTCAGGTACCCCCTGCAGCCTGGCCAAGAGTCAGCTGACAATGCCAAGACCCAAAACATCCAAGTTTACAATGTGGTAAATCTAGAAAAGCCACTCCACTCTGTTTCCTTCAAAATGCAAGAGAGATATAGTGAATCAAAGTTGGGAGTATGACTCACATCTCCTCCAAATGCATGACGACCTCAAGTGGAATCACTTCTTTTAAAGCCCTAAATGGAGTGTGTGGGCTTCCCTGGTAGCTCAGCAGTAAAGAATTTGCCTGCCATGCAGGAGACATGGGTTCAATCCCTGGGTTGGGAAGAGTCCCTGGAGAAGGAAATAGCAACCCACTCCAGGATTTTTGCCTGTGAAATCCCATGGACAGAAGAGCCTGGCGGGCTACAGTCCTTGGGTCACAGAAGAAATGGACACGACCTAGTGATTAAACAACAAAAGGAGCCTGCAATCCTGCATCCTCCAGGGTCAGCAGAATATTGGTCACAGATCAGGTCTGAGCTACAGTAACAGTAGAGAAAATCACATACAGGCAAAATTCTCAAAGAAAAATTAACTGTGAACCTTTTAAAATAAAATGGTAACACAGTATATGCATTTAAAAATAAATGTTCCTTGGCAAGAATTTTAGGTATATTTGTAAGGATTTGTGGTAAAAACACTGACAATTTACGTCAGTAGTAAAGAGTTCTTAACTCTTTTGGGAATGAATATAAACCACAATATATTGACTTCACTGAAGTTTTGTCAAACTGATAAATATTTCATAAGAAGTATCTACAGACATTGCAATTTCACTGTATTACATTACAACAACTCTAATGCCAGTAAATGATTTGATAAGTTATCTTTAGGTTATACCCGAAGATAATTTCTTAGATTTTCTGTTAATACTTTACCAAGGACATAGTTAAATATTTGTCAGTTTTGAAATTTTATGGTCTAGTCTTATTTTAGTTGGTGGTGTTTAGTGATTAGGAAGGAAGGAAGGGAATTAGTATCAAAGAAAGCTCTTTCTTAAAAAAAAAATAATTTTTTTAAAAAGACAGTCCTATGGGATTGACTAATAACTATTTTCTAGTCATTTAAAACATTCATGTAGCTAGAAAACAAAATCTTTGCCAATAATTTTAGGTGACATATGATGAACTCTAGATAATTTTCTTGGTATAGTCATAATTGAAGTTATATAGTTACTCTGGACATGAACAATTATACCTTTTTATGATTTTTTTGAGTATTTTCTTTCTCATTGTTCAGTTGATTAGTTGTTTATGACTCTTTGGGACCATGTGGACCGGGAGCATGCCAGGTTTCCCTGTCCTTCACTATCTCTGAAGTTTGCTCAATTCATGTTCCCTGAATCAGTGATGCTATCTAACCATCTCATCCTCTGCCACCCTCTTCTCTATATGCTTTCAAACTTTTCCAGCATCAGGGTCTTTTCCAATGCATTGGCTCTTTGCATCAGGTGGCCAAAGGATTGGAGTTTAACAATTATGATTTAAGATTTTTTTTGAGTATTATCTTTCTAATAGCTTTAACAGAGAGCAAACACTACATAGTCTTCCCTTTACCTGTTTAAACTTCATAAAAATAATATTTTTTAAAGAATGAAAATTCATGGCATTAAAGAAATTCTATGTGAAGTATGATTGATATGATAAAAAGTATCACATATATTTATTTCAGAAGACAGATGCTTTGGCAAGAGAATGACAAAGGCTTTGGGGTATATAACTGAATTATTACCTTCTTTATAAATACATGCAAATTATTTAACCTGTTGAGTGAATTACAACTCAAAGTTTTTATAGTTGGTTAAGTCAGACTGAAGTGTCAAAAATACCCAAATAAGTGTTCATAGCTCAGGCCATCTCCTTCTTGAATCAACAACCAGAAAGCAAATGTCAATGATTTAAAACCACATCAACTCCAGAAAAATCTACCAATTTGTACAATTTTAACTGATAATTAGATCTAGTTAAGTAGAGCTGAGCAATTTCATGCAAGCAATGACTCCAAATTTGAGCAGGGGGTGGCTGCTTTAATTTTCAAGAAACTTGCAACAACAAAGAGCCATTTCATTACATGAGGACCAATCCCATATTTGACTAACAAAATATAACAATACAACTAATGATATAGCAGAGTTAGAAGCTTTAAGATTAAATGAATAATGAGGAGTCAAATTTACTTAAGTTATTTTTTAAAAGACACTGTAAAGTTGGTAGAATATAACAAAAAGTATTATAAGACTATTAAATGTAACTTTAGCTTGACAATGGGTTGTTAGTAGGATTAACAGAAAATAATTTAAACACTATTTAGGAAATCTCTGGCATAAGCAGAGCTATTAATAATACACAGGTTAACTTTATGCTGTATGAAAAATGGACTCATTGTCAGTGATAGCGAGAAATAATTGTCTAATTATTTCTTATTGTATCTGTAAAACAGCACAGTATGGGTACATAGGATTAAGATTTGAAAGGATGATATATAATTATTGTTCTAATCTGTGAGTTAGAAAACAATACCCCATTTCAAACTTCAGAGGTGCTGTAGTCATCAGATGAAATTAATGTGGGCCTAAATATCATCAAAAACTACAAAGACAGTTATTAAAATAAAGTGTTATTTCCCTAGAAGTTATCTTAGCATCTAAGGTCAAACTGAGGCAGAAAAAATTATTTTCTTCAAATCAAGGATATTTTATGTAATCTTCAATACACACTTGAAACTAGGTTGAAAAATCACCATCAACTAGCCTTCCTTATGAACACTAAGACATCTTCTGCAAACTCAAGAGTTCTAAGTGTGAGTAATCAGTGCTTTAAGATGTGGTTAGTTTTTCATACTAACGATAATAGAAAATTAGTTTTGGAGAAGGTTTACTCAACTTTCAATCAAAGGTGAACAGGTTTCTTTTTCTATGGGCCTCCTGCAGCTTTCAATATGTTCATGTACTTTGGAAACTTGTTTGATCCAAGAATTCCTTCTGTCTTCTTAGAACTACTCAAGATTCAAAACTTTTCAACTACTGCCCATCAGGACAACTTGGAAATTATCTTAGTGCTTGTGAGTACTGTATTACAGCTTTTGTTTTTTAAATTTATCTGCTAAGAAACTTAGATGAAACAGATCATTTTTCTGTGTCAACTTATATCATTGAGAGATGCCCCTTTAAATAATTGATTGCTTAAACTCAATTAAGTGGATTACTAGAGTTATAAGTTAGGAAAGAGTAGACACAATTTATATGCACCATGTAAATAATGATAATGCCAGATGCCATTGCTTGAACTCATTTGTGTGCCCCCACATTTACATGTTGAATGAAACCTAACACCTAAGGTGATGGTATTAGAAGTGGAGCCTTTGGAAGGTGGTTAGGTCATGAGGGTGGAGACCTCATCGATAGGATTAGTGCCCTTATAAAAAAGCCTCCAGAGAGATCTCCCTCTCTTTTGCTTATGTGAGGATTTAAGTCTACAATGTGGAAGGCAGCCCTCACACAACCATGCTGGCACACTGATCTAGGACTTCAGCTCCCAGAACTGTAAGAAATAATTTTGCTTGTTTATAAGCAACCCAGTCTGTGGTACTTTGTTGTAGCAGCCAGAAGGGACTAAAACACCACAGAAGTAAAACATGGAAACTATTAAAAACCAATTTCATAAGTGACATAATTAGCTTTACTTTTTCCATCCCATATTTAAGACCTGGTTCTCATTATCTGTATAATCACAATTAAAATTACCTGATCTCCAAAGTGTACCATATAAGACCAATCTGTGGCTTCCTGAATTCAGTTGAGAATATATAAAGACATATAACAAATGATGATAACAATAAATTTCTGACTAAATTATAAACTTTAATTATTAGGCTAAAGTTTACAAAACCCTTAAAATGAGATCTTAATGTTAATTTTACCTTTCAATTTCTTTTTTCTGAGGGTTTGAAATCACTAATTTGCTACTTTCATCAGTAAAGGCTTTCTGTTCTTCATAGGCCTTTAGTTTTTCTTTTAACATTAAAATCTAGTAGGGAGAAAACAGTAGTTAAAAATATAAATTATCTGTTTCCATTATACACAGCCACAGAAAAATTTTAGCTGTGAAAAATAACTGAACAAAATTTCAGTTATAATAGAAAAGCAAGTCAAAGTTTTAGACAATAAAAATTGCAGAATCCCATAAATGAGGAACTGAGAGAGCTTAGCAACAACGTAAAGAAAAGACATACCTCTTTCTTCTGCTCGTTACAGATTTTTACATACTGAGTTATATGATTGTCGAGGTTAAGAACATTGCTCTTCAACTGTTACGAAAAAGAAATTATGATTGCGCATATACAGAGATAAAAATCAGTTATATATGTGAACAAAATAGCATTATATCCTCATTAATTCAGCTTCATGAATTCAGAATTTGTGACAATTACAATCATGACAATATAATCAACTATGCTCATGCTTAAAATCTATGACAAGTGGGTAAGGGTATGCTGAGCACATTAATAACAGATTTATAAAAGAAACTGCCTTCTTTATTATTGGAAAAAAGGTACTTTAAAGAACTTGCAAAACAAGCATTCATATAATAAAAACTGCCCATTTTTCCCTTTGTCCTTTGACTTTTAAGATACAGAGATAATTTAAATTTTTACCAGTTTGTATGTTCAAGTAGCTTTTAACAAGTTCTCAATATATTTTATCCTTTTTATGAAAGTATGAGCCTTCCGGCAGCTATGGAATAGTGGAAAGAACATTAAATCCAAATACTTGATTTTGAGGCCTTGCCCACTTCTCACTTAACTTAGAATTTAATACTTACAACTTTGAACATGTAATTCCTCAACTGTAAAGAAAAGCTAAAAATGTCTTCCTCAGTGGTTTGGTGTAAGCAGTGCATGAAAAATATGTGTCAAAAACCTCTGTATACTCAATACAGCACAACCTTTCCCAATTTATTATATAAACAATATATGCATATTTCTCTAAGGAAGACAATAACCCACTTATTTTCAATCAATGGTGGAAAAAAGGTACTTTAAAGAACTTGCAAAACAAGCATTCATATAATAAAAACTGCCCATTTTTCCCTTTGTCCTTTGACTTTTAAGATACAGAGATAATTTAAATTTTTACCAGTTTGTATGTTCAAGTAGCTTTTAACAAGTTCTCAATATATTTTATCCTTTTTATGAAAGTATGAGCCTTCCGGCAGCTATGGAATAGTGGAAAGAACATTAAATCCAAATACTTGATTTTGAGGCCTTGCCCACTTCTCACTTAACTTAGAATTTAATACTTACAACTTTGAACATGCAATTCCTCAACTGTAAAGAAAAGCTAAAAATGTCTTCCTCAGTGGTTTGGTGTAAGCAGTGCATGAAAAATATGTGTCAAAAACCTCTGTATACTCAATACAGCACAACCTTTCCCAATTTATTATATAAACAATATATGCATATTTCTCTAAGGAAGACAATAACCCACTTATTTTCAATCAATGGGAGCAGCAGAGGGGTGAGTGGGAAGAGAAGTCATCATGCCAGCTGAACTCTATTACAACTCTGAAGGCTTGTGATTTTACACATTCATCATCATGTTTGACTTACGCTAAAAAAACGTTACCCCAAATTACTGGCAAAAATACCAACCTAACCACTTATTATTACATTGCTGTAGCTATACAGATTGGCTACATCAATATCATGAATGTGAAAATAAATTATTTTTAGAAAACTATTTACTCTATAAACTGAGACAGATATTGTATCTACTTTATAGATGAAGTAAATAACTAAGGCTTGAAGGGATCAGCAAACACGGCCACGGTTTTCAGGTGGAAACGGCTGGTGCTGGGCTACAGTAGAGCGTCAGCTTTGGCTGCAACAAATGTGTTGAGGCCTTGACCAATTACACCAAAACGCCATCAAAATATCATGAGTCATGATGTGAAAAAGGTTAGAGAGAAAGGCACTAAAACATCCTAATTTTCCAAAAAACTAAATAATCGTTATTTATTATATATGTAATTAAGATGCTTAATATTTTAATTGTCCTAGTTAATGCTCAATTAACTGGGTTAGTAAAGACATTTCTAGCCTTGATTTCTTAACTCATTAGTAGAAATATATCTCTCTTTCATATTTCGCTAGAGGTATAAAAAAGAAAAAAAAAATGCACCAAGTACTCTTACCACAAAGGCAGAGTAAACACACTTACAGAAGACTTAATGTCCTTTGCGCGGTTAGCATACTTAAGAGTGTTATATGTGTCATCGTAGAACACAGAGGAAGGACTAACAGCAGCAATCATTATAGTTTGACAGTTTCCTCCGAGAGAATCCTTTAACAAGCGAGTGAGCTTACTATTTCTGTAAGGAATATGCTGATTCTTTTTCTGAAAGAACAAAAACAGGATTCTTATGTCATTTTCCACATTCAAATGCAAACCTGCTACCATTTCACTGTAAGAACTGAAGCGCTGCACAACTCTGCCCAGCCTTACACATCTTATGGAATTGCTCAGTGAATACAGAAAACAAATTTCCCATTGAAAGATTATATCTCCATCTGATTAAGTGTGAATGTTAGTTAATCATAAAATATCAATGCTATTTTATTAGTTGTAATAAGTGTACCATATTAATGTGACATATTAGTAGAGGAAACTTGAATGTGGGGTATATTGAATAAAATCTTCCTGTATTATCTAATCAACTTTTCTGTATTTAAAACTATTCAAAATCAAAATGTCTATTAAAAAATTTCATTTTTTAAAGAGAAATTAAAATACAAAAGTAATATATACCCTGGAGAAACATACTCCAGAAGAATAATAAGAATTCTGTATGGCAGAGAGGTACTTCTCTCTTTAAATAACCATCTAATATGAATACAAAATAAATTATAATCTTACAAATACTTTATCTGAAAGCATAACCATAGGTCTAAGAGAACTTTATTTTTCTAGATTATCTTTTGCTTTAAAAGACAGCTATGATTTTAAAGTAAAAACATTTCCAATTACTTCTATATAAAAACAGAGCAATATAATGTTAAGGTAAAAGCAATTTATGCTATCCAATGTAGCTCTTTCATATTACAGAAGAGAAAAATGAAGCTAAGCAAAAAGCCACATGACTTGCCTCAGGTCACATGGCTGGTAAGTCACAGAGCTACAAACTGGCCTGAAGTCTCCCAGCTCCCAGTAGTACTATGCTTTCCACCGTAGCAGTCTTTCTCAAACAGTGTGGAGTGTGCACAGGCTGGTGCTACTTGAATTGATTTTGCATGTATAAGATATGCATTAAACACTGACTAACAAATGACTCAACAGCAGTCAATTATTAAAATTAAATCAGTATATGGAAAAAATTTCATGAATGGCAAAATTTAGGAAATCAGTCTCTATACCATGCTGTCTGCTCACATATTCTGAGATTTTAACTTAGAATACAAAATATATTTTGCTTTTCTAATATTCATGTGATTTTAGAAACTTGCCTTTTTTAAAAATAAAAAAGACTTCCAAAATCACTTTAATGTACTTCATATTTATCAAAATGCAACATTTTGAATAGTTTAACAGTAACTTTCCTACAGCTTCTGAGTTTGTTTTGAACTAAAATTATCATGTGTGTGAGTGCTCTGTTGTGTCTCTTTGTGACCCCATGGACTATAGCCCACCAGGCTCCTCTGTCCATGGAACTTTCCAGGCAAGAATACTGGAGTGGGTTGCAATTTCCTACTCCAGGGGATCTTCCCAACCCAGGGGTCAAACCCATATCTCCTGCCTCTCCTGCACTGGCAGGCAGATTCTTAATCAACAGTGCCAATTAACTTAAAAAAAAAGGAAGTCATTTTTACAAATACAGAAGTTATCAAATATGCTGTGCTCCTATAAGCACTTCTGGCATTGAGTAGACAAAAAATATTTTTTAATGACCCAAAGGCATCTAGCAAACATCATTCTATTAGATGATTTAATTATACTTTATACCCTAAGCTCCTCTTCCTAAGAAAACTCAAAATTCTTTTTTTTTTTTCCCATTTACTTTTATTAGTTGGAGGCTAATTACTTTACATCATTGCAGTGGTTTTTGTCATACATTGAAATGAATTAGCCATGGATTTACATGTATTTCCCATCCTGGTCCCCCCTCCCACCTCCCTCTCCACCCAATCCCTCTGGGTCTTCCCAGTGCACCAGGCCCGAGCACTTGTCTCATGCACCCAACCTGGGCTGGTGATCTGTTTCACCCTAGATAATATACATGTTTCAAAATTCTTTAATATTTAACTCAATTTACAGTATATATATAAAATACTAACCAGACCAGAATTAACTTTTTCTAAAGTGTGTGCTTTGTCTTCATGCCAATTTAATTAATCATGCTTATTGTGTAGTGCTCATTAAATTGTCATTAAAAAAAATCAAATTCAAAATAAATGACGAGGAAATATCATAAATATTAACTCTCAATCTGATATTCAATACCTTTCATTTAACAAATTCTGATTATAAAACGAGAAGTTAACAAAACAAACAAAAAAGACCAATAGCTTTATTTGATATACTAGGCTCTCTGTGGTCTTTGCTGTTTATGTAAACATGATTGTTACATTCTTAAAACTTGACTTATAATAGATCTTTAAAACAAAATTATATGAATATGCTTCTGGGAATTATACATATTTCAAAACACTTAAACAAATAAACATATAGTACCTACCTTTGTATCTGCTAAGGCATTGATAACATTCCCAAGAGCTAAAAGTGATCGATTGATATTTGTGCCTTCTATAAACCGGGTCCCTTTAGCGCTGGTAGCACTGGCTCTTTCAGACCCTGCCAGGTCAATGAGTGACATCTTGGCAATTCGGACATTTTGATTGATACTTGCTGTTTTATCTTGTTGTCTCAAATAAATCTTTTTGAAATTACAGGATAATAGGGAAAACAAGGATTAGATTTAAGAAAATTAAAAGGGAAATGTATACTTTATTTTTAAAAGAGCAAGAAATCAATTATTTTCACTATAAAGACATACTGAACAAGGTACAGCTTGACTGGACTGGCTGATATCCAAGAGTACCAAAAGTAATTACCAAAGTTGAGAAAAATTTGAAAATGAAAAGACTTCCTATATGTGTACTAGAGGTTAAATATTAATAACTCCTGGTTTGATAGAAGGTTAAAACAGCTGCCTTTTATACTCTGGTAACACTTAGTCTAAGATATTTTGGGGAAATTTCAATGTCCCTGATAAACATGTCTCTCAAGATTATTGATAAATGAAAAGTCAGTGGGAAGAAGAGAAAAGATTAATGAAGCTTTGTGGATTACAGACTTTCTGAAAGATCTGATATCCTCAGATTTGAATTCTTTCAACTATAACTATTGGATGAGTTTCAAATAGCATATCCAGAATAAAGCTTATAATCTAGTTTTAATAAAACTAGAAACTACAAATAATAACTACTAACCTATGCTTTAGGCTTTTCTAGACCCGTATTCCTAAAAAGTACTGTATCAACTGAATCACACACTCTCTTAAAGAATGCAACTACTTACATGGTCATTATGGTGAAATCTTAATCAGTACCTCCCCAATTTATTGGTTCTGTAAATCTAGATCTATAAACAGAAAGTCTGCTCTGAATAAAAGATTATCTTTTGAAAAGATTAAGTATGTTTTACCAATTCAAGAAAAGGAAAGAAAATCTCTAATACTACCACTTTACTATCACGTATTTTTACACAGGTTAAAAATTTACATGTTTCTAACTTACATCATTTCAATTCTAAATATTCTTGACTGAATCTTCTCAAAGCTGCAAAGTAAAGGAAGCGCTGAGAAGTAGAAAAGTCCACAGATGAAGAGATATTTTAGAATGTTTGAAGGTTACTGTTCATAAATTTGGCTACATTTAAATTCAATTTTAAGAACTATGGTCTAGTGACCTGTTACCTGGAAAACAGCATGAGAACGAGAAGACGTAGCATTTGTATCAGTGGGATGTTGTGTCCTGTTTCTGTTACCACTATCCAATAACTGCAAAATTTCCTCTGAGGATTTGGGCTAGAGTAGTTGACACAGAAGAAAAACATACAAATTAATCGCCGGTCTTTAAATTTCTTAATAAACCATCAACAATCAAGAAGACTTTTACAGGTAAAATAGAAATTATTTTCTTATTAAATCCCATTAAATATCAATCGTGTATCATCTGCTTAGCACTTTTGTGCTACATGAAAAATAAAAGATAAAATCTAATCTCTCTGAGGAGATAAAATAATACATTAAGCAGAATAATATATTATATTAAGTGTCCAAGTAGAGTTTTAAGAGAAAAGCCCATTTGATTATCTTAAAGGAAAACAAAACAAGGCTGATGATATACTTGATTATTTTAACTTGATACTTCATTATTTTAACATAAGTACATGGCTAAATTACCATACTTGCTATTTGAAGAAGCAAAAAATGAAGTTTGTAAACATACCTGATGTAAAGTCAATCCCTGAACGACCACCCCTTTTTGGGCATCTTCCCGGACAGCAAGTGGCCCTGAATTTACTAAGAGGTCACGAATCTGTTCATTATACACCTTAAAATAAAAAGGATTGCTTAGCATTGATGCTTAGCATTGACACTGAAACAGTAGCGACAACATCACACAAACATGCATACATTGCTGCCTTAAGGTTATGTTAGAATTTGTCTCAAAGAGAAGCAGCAGCTCATTTCCATTCATCTCATCCCTTCTATCACATATTGCCATGACTTCTAACATCTGGTAAAACAGAAGAGTTTGATAACCAGCAATTCCCCATTTGATGACTACAAGTCAACAGAAATAGGATAGCTGGAATTGCCTCTTCCTATTTTCTGGAAATATATGAGACAAACGGTCTTGGGAAACTCTTTAATGGATTGAAAGTGTAAGTTGTATGGAAGTAGTGTGGTTCTTACTGGAGAAGATATTATTTCATGATGCCCAAGTAGTCCAAACTTTTTAAACTTCAGAGCTTAAAAGTTAAAGAAAACCCCTGAAAGACGGATGGTATTTACTTCACTTATCCTTCAATGCATTAAGTTTAACATGTAATGATAATTCCATAATGGGACAGTCTCCCCCCAACTTGAGTGTGGGAACTGAGGCCCTCAGAGTTTAAGTGACTTGCCCAAGTCCACCGTCACAAAGGTGAGAGCAGAGTCTGGTATCCTCACTGTACTGAATGGCACTGAATACACATCTGCATTTTAAACTTCTGGCAATTCTTTTTAGTAATTTCTCTCAGTAATGTAGGGCTTCCCAGTTGGCTCCCAGTGGTAAAAAAATCTGCATGCTAATGCAGGAGACATGGATTTGATCCCTGGATTGGGAAGATCCTTTGGAGAAGGAAAGTCAACCCATTCTAGTATCCTTGCCTGGGAAATCCCATGGGCAGAGAAGCCTGGTGGGCTAGAGTCCACAGGGTCGCAAGAGAGGCAGATACGACTCAGTGACTACACAACAGTGCAAGTAATGTACGGAGATAGCGCAACTGACATAGTCTTACCCATCTGCTAAAGGTGCTAAGTGTTCTACTTGATAGCAAAATGACAATTGTATCTGTTTGATAAGACTAAAAAACACATAAAATTTAATCTTTAAGAATTATTTTCTGTAAGTTATATCCATGTTCTAATAAATAGCCTACAGTGATCATTCATTGCTGGTAAAACTTGCTACAATGAATGATAACCATTTTTAAATGCAATAAATTCTTAGAAGTAGTAAAATGATAAAATGAAGAGATAATTTTTTGGTTCTTATTTTTCTGATAAGCAGCAGTCACTTTTTAAATGATTTCCCTTACCCACTTCAATCATACAAAATACATAATTACACAATTACTATCAAGCTAGTTTATGCATCAAAATCACCTGGGAGCTTTTAAAATACATAGATGTCTTGGCCACAATCCAAATCTATTAAACTAAAATGTCCAGGGGGTGAGGTCTAGGCATGTCTAGTTTTAAAAAGCCCCACAGCCAATTTTGGAGCACAGACTGAGTAGAGAACTGTTAGATTAGACATTGCCTTACCATTAATAAAATGAAAACAGATTTAAAGAAAGAAAAAAACAACTAAAAACATTATAAAAATAAGCAAACTTCAAAATTTTCCTAGTTATAAAAGGATCTAAGGAAGAAATAATGAATACGGTGCCATGCTCTCTTCCTAATTAAGTTCAGAACAATTCTTTTCAAAATACTTAACTACAGAAAATGAATTTTACTTCTTTTATCACCAAGTTCTATAGACTGACAACAATTTTTAGCAATATAATCTTAAATCAATTTCTAAAATGTGAAGAAACTCTCAAACAATAAGATGTCAGCAAGAGCACTAAAAACTAGAAATTTACCCTCTGACATCACAAATGAAAAGGCAGTAAAATCAGTAAAGGCAGTAAAATGCAGAAACAGACGTTTCTGCATTGGTTTCTGAAACACTATCTGAACACAAAGTGAAAGTGCCAACTACTTAGTTATTATTTGTTGAATGTTAGCTATTAAGAGGGTAGAAAGTCTCAAATGATGAGGTATGTCAAACTGCCCCCGCCCCCCCCCCCCCCCCCCCCCCCCCCACACACGAGATAGCAGGAAGGAGCCTCACCTGGCCAAATCTGCACAATTTAAGCATACAGAAAAATACTTAGAGAAAAGGATTATAATCTATGGAATAATATTAAGAATCCATAAGTCTACATTGATACAGAAGAGGAAAGGGAAAGCTCTTCCTTGTAGTAGAAAGCCAATGAAGAACTGTAGAAGAAATGATGGAGTTTGAAAATCACTATCATCTGCAATCATGACAGAATTGATTCAGGCATGAATCATCAGTGGATACTAAAATGAACAGACCAAAGACTGAGGAGTCACAGGATTTACACTGTTTCCCTACAAGTTATTTATTAATTATAAAGGGTAATGGATGCTCAGTCGATTGGCTCATGTCCAACTCTCTGCAACTCGGTGGACTGTAGCCTGCCAGGCTCCTCTGTCCATGGTATTTTCCCAGCAAGAATACTGGAGTGAGTTGCCATGCCCTCTTGCAGGGGATCTTTGCGATCCAGGGATCGAACTGGCGTGTCCTGCATTGCAGGCAGATTCTTTACCGCTGAACCACCAGGGAAGTCCCATATAGGGAAATACAGTACCTTTATAATGGAAAAGCTTTGTAGACACCAGTGTAATGAAACTGATTAAAGGTAACACAGCCAGTGTCAGGACTAACTAATTATATAAGCCTCTTGATATGTTATATAAGAAGAAGTCATCATCACTTATGTGGTATTCCTGTCAGTCCATAACCTGAATGTAATTGTGACAAATCTAAACTAAAAGTTTTACAACAGCAACATAAAATATAGAGAAAAAAAATCCTGATTAAAGGGACTGAAGTGATGAATTGCAAATGAATACAATATATGATCTTAGATTTTATTTTCAATAAAGGGTGTTATTAGAATAATTATCAAAATCTTATTATATCATTGTTAGTTTCCTGATATTGATTACTATTCAGTTTTTATTTAAGAAATTTTCTGTCTTTACAAACCTGTAACAAACAGTTCGGGGGAAAAAAAAGGAAAACCACATATGCAGAAAGAAAGAAGAGAGAGTAAAATGTTAACATATGGAGAATGCAAACGAAGGGAATCTAGAAGTTCTTTATACTATCTATACTAATCCTACTACTTCTGTATAAGTCAGAAGTTATGGCAAAATACTTAACAGAAAAAAATAAGATCTACAACAAATAATTGAAGACCAGGACTTTTAATGATTTTATATTAATATATTCATGAAAAAAAATCTCTGCCTGATAGAATAATTTGAAAGGACAATGGAATTTCTTATAAAAAGATTTCTCAATACTATTGATTAAACCAAAAAATGACATTGCCAACTTACCTCCAGATAAGAAACCGCAGTACTACATACTTTTTCTTCTTTAATCTCATCCATGGATTTGTAAAGGTCCAGCATTGTTAGATACATCACTCCAGGTTCAGCAGCTGATCCTAGCATTGTGTGGGTCTTTCCAGCTCCCGTGGCACCATATGCAAGTACTGAGTTTTTATGAAAAGGGATCAGAGTTCTTTGTTATGACACATAACATTACTGTATCTATTGTCTAGTGAATAGTCCCACCTGGATATCCTAAACAGTAACTTGTAAATCTAACAGATCCATATTCATTTATAGTCATTCTTAAATCTTGGCAATTTACAGTATCATACTGTATTTCTAACTGTGAGTTCCACCAAAGCAGAGACTATGTATCCTTCCTACCTAGTAAGTGACTTACACTACTAGTAAGTGATCTGGCACAAAGTGGGTACTAAATATTAATACAAATTTGCAGAATTCCAAATAAAAGTCATTTATAATAATTCCTTTTAAAATTTTTGTTTTAGGTAAATTACTTTGCTTTCAAGACTCTATCCAGTACAATAGAACAGTGATACATTTCTTCAAGTGCCAAAAAAAAAAACCCCACCCACTCTGAATTACATATGGCAAATACCCAACATAAATTCAGTTAAAGCAATAAGTCTTTGAGAATTATTTTTATAAATTAAATTTCTCTGCTAAGTTTGTTAACTACAAAAATACTTTTTAGTAGGATGGATTAAACTGATTCATTCTGTTTTATTTTACGTAAGCTGGCAGTACAACATGAAGTCTTAAGATAGTTGGATAATATAAAGTAAAACCAAGAAGAAACCAAAGATTCAGTATTACCTTTGTAGAGATTTTTTTCATTTGGAGTTAAAATAATTTTTTTAAATCTCTAGAGACAATATGGAGTTTCATGAATGAGGAAAAGAATATCTGCTTAAAAATGAGAATCAAAGAAGGTCTAATCAATAAACCACATTCCATTCTTTTTTGACCTAGAGGGTAAACCTTCTGCAATAAAAGTGAATGAGTCAGTGAAAGCCAGGGAAACATGTTATAGTTTTGGGGTATCTTAAAGATAATGCCATAAATGGTGGTAATTACAAAAATAATAATGGTGTGAGGTACCTGGTAAGCATTCAATTAACTGGCATTTTGGAGAGCTCTTTTCTGGGAAATCAACAGAGCTGTTTTGAAAGGCAAATTATTATAGGTCTACTGAGAGCACTAAAGATGCTTCTTTGGGCTGAAGATATACTAACACAGCACATGTATGATACTCAACATGGTCTTTAAAAAATAGTTACTTCAAGGTACTATAAAGAAAAAATAGTGCTATGAAGAAATTGCCAAGTGTTCAGAAATCTTCCACTATCCCCCAGGGATAGACTGTTGCATAGGTAAACATTGGGAATATTTATGAATACAAATTGTGAGAAATCTGGCATCAACTATCTGAAGCATGTGGTTTTAAAACATAAGAAATGGAAAGGATGACCATCTATAGGAACCAAAGCAAGACCCAGGAAAAGAAATTTTCAAAAATGCTATATATGATGACTAAATTTCAAAGAAAATCTACATTTACAATGAAGTACCGAACTGAAGAATTTTTAGCAAACAAGCATCTTAAAATTGATTATATTTTAGAAGAGTCAAGTAGATGTCCTAATATAAAAATGAAATCAGATGGAATTATTAAATCCCAGCTGAAAGAATTACCTGTGCAATTATATCCATTCAAAAAACTACGAAGAATTGGCTTAGTAGTGTGTTCAAAAACTTCCAATTGAGTTGAATTTTCATCAAAAACAGCATCAAATACAAATTTAAGATCCTTATTTTGCCTCTTTGTAATGTCTCGATTCATAGTTTTCCTTCCATGGAAAAAGCTGATTTCTTCTTGCTTGGGATCAAAAACAAGAATATGCTTATCCACAACATGGACTACTTTATGAAATCCAGAGGCTTTTTCTTTTGTGTTCTCAGGACGCACACGGACAACTACTTTCATGTGATGACACAGGTCTTCCTCAGTAACAGACATTGTTGACGATCTTGATTCCTCTGCTTATGTGAATGGTTGAATATTTCTCTGAAATTAAAGAGTATTAATATTAATTCTACTATACGCAAAATGACTAGCATGTAGTACTAACCTAAAAACAAAGGTGTTAATTATGTTGCACTCACATAGTAAACGTTACTGGAAATCCCTAGTTTGAAACTTTCCAGTGGTTCTTATTCAGACCTGAATTTCTTTTAATGGCCTAGGTCTTCTACCTCAAGTCCTATTGTCTTCCCCATTGCCCCTATTCCAACTAATGCCAAGTGCCCCAATTACGCCCTTCTGCTAGCCATTCTATCATAAAGTGCTTTCCTCAATAATTACATGACTAAATCTGTCACTTCTTTCAAGTCCTTGCTCAAATGATGCCCATTCTGCCCACCCTTATTAAAACTGCCAAACCAATTCCTAATTGCCCTTATACTGTTCAATTTTTTCCCAAAGCACTTACTACCTCCTAATAGAATATATATTTTCCATCTATTTAGCATGCTTGGTGCTTACTTTCTCTATTCTAGTTAAAACTATAAGCCCCTTAAGGGCATTTAAAAAAAATCTGTTTTGCTTACCAATGCGTTCCAAGTCTAAAACAGTGCCTAGTATATGGTAGACACTATAAATGTGCATGTACATGTTCAGCTGCGTCCGACTTTTTGTAACCCCATGGGTTGTGGCCTACCAGGCTCCTCAGTCCATAGAATTTTCTAGGCAAGGATACTGGGGTGGGTTGCTGTTTCCCACACCAGGGAATCTCCCGGACCTTAGGATTGAACCTGCATCTCCTGTGTCTTCTGCATTGGCAGGCAGATTCTTTACCACTGCTCAACCCACTCCAGTACTCTTGCCTGGAAAATCCCATGGACAGAGGAGCCTGGTAGGCTACAGTCCATGGGGTCACAGAGTCAGACACGACTGAGTGACTTCACTTTCTTTTCTTTCAGCTATAAAGTTTGAGCTGAAGTGGAAGCCGAGGGTCTGATTAATATTTCAGAGATTTACTAAGTTTTTGTATTTGTGTATCATTTAATATTTTTGCATTTGATTTTTGCAATCTGATCACTTTCACTGTTGACATACCTGAGGAAACGGAAACTACTGAGGCCACTGAAGTAATGCAGACAAGAGATGATGCAGTCAACTCAGAACAGGGAGTGGTAAATATAATCTGAAGGTAAAGACAAGAATTTTCTGACAGATGGGGGGAATGAGAGAAAGACAGGATTCAGGAATTACTCCAAAGTTCTTGGCCTGAGTGTTGGAAGAACAGAATAGCCATCAACTGAGATAGAAATAACTGAGGGTAAAGCAGGTTTTGGGGTGAAGATCATAAGTTCCTTCTGGATATCTTAAATCTGAGAACATTAATCAACATCTGGGTGGACATTTCAAGGCAGCTGAAAGCTAAGTTAAGAAAATAAAGGTTGTCCTCAGAGTTTTAATGCCATGTGAAGCTTTTCAGTTTTTCAAGTTTATCATGGTATTAAAACTTAGGGGGGCCTTCTAAATCAAGGAGGAGAGAATGATCAATTGTGCTAAATAACTGCTAATAGGTCCAGTTCAGTTCAGTCGCTCAATCGTGTCCGACTCTTTGTGACCCCATGTACTGCAGCATGCCAGGCTTCCCTGTCCATAACAAACTCCTGGAGCCTACTCAAACTCAAGTCCATCACTCCTGGAGTGTACTCAAACTCATGTCCATCACTCCCGGAGCTTATTCAAACTCATGTCCATCGAGTCGGTGATGTCATCCAACCACCTTATCCTCTGTCATCCCCTTATCCTCCCACCTTCAATCTTTCCTAGCATCAGGGTCTTTTCAAGTGAGTCAGCTCTTCGCATCAGGTGGCCAAAGTATTGCAGTTTCAACTTCAACATCAGGTCTTCCAATGAATATTCAGGACTGATTTCCTTTAGTATGGATTGGTTGGATCTCCTTGCAGTCCAAAGGACTCTCAACAGTCTTCTCCAACACCACAGTTCAAAAGCATCAATTCTTTGGCACTCAGTCTTCTTTATAGTCCAACTCTCACATCCATACATGACTAGTGGAAAAACCAAAGCTTTGACTAGATGGACCTTTGTTGGCAAAGTAATGTCTCTGCTTTTTAATAAGATGTCTAGGTTGGGCATAGCTTTTCTTCCAAGGAGCAAGTGTCTTTTAATTTCATAGCTGCAGTCACCACCTGCAGTGATTTTGGAGCCTCAAAAAATAAAGTCTGTCACTGTTTCCATTGTTTCCCCATTTATTTGCCATGAAGTGATGGGACCAGATGCCATGATCTTAGTTTACTGAATGTTGAGTTTTAAGCCAAATAGGTTAAGTATTTACTAAAAGTTATCACAGGATTTGGCAACATAGAAGGAAATAAGAGCAATGTGGGGCAATGGTAGAACAAAGGCCTGAATAGGAGAAGACTCAGATAGCAAATACAGGAAGCACTACTGCACAAGTAAGCAAAGAAATGGTGTGGGTGGAGAGGGACAGGGTTAAAAGAAGATATTGTGTTTCCTAAAGTGGAAGAAATAATAATGATAAAGCTAACATATATCATAAAACCATATACTTTTGAAAGGAATTCAAACTAAGGCCAAGGCAATCTAAAAGCAGAAGACACTAGACATAGCACTCCCATTTTAGGACTCTATGAGTCCCCAAAATAGAACACTGAAAAGGAAAGGATGGTCATTTAGATTCTAACAGTTAGGTCTCAGATGAATTATTACTCTGCTCTTTCTCCACTCTGAGCTTCTGTCTAGCCAACTCCCATAAATACCTATACCCCTTTTCTTTGACCTTGGACAAGTTACTTGACCTCACTGAGTCCCAGGTTTCTCATTTGTATAAGAGAAATAATACCTAATAGCTGTCCTTAAGGCTAAAAGAGATAAAAAGCATTAAGTGTATTAAGGCATTCAATAAATGCCAATTCTATTCCCTACATGCCTCCAATCCTGCCTCTTCTTCCCAAAGATAACTGGCCCATCTTTTCATTCGTTCCCAATGAGCTTATCACTGGCATTTTGGGTAGGTCAATTCTTCCTTATTTGGAACTGTCTCAAATATTAGAGGATGTTAACATTTCTGACCTCTGTCTATTAAAGGTTAGTAGAATCTCACATTCCTTTTGATGCCAAAAACTAACCGCTACATAGATTTCTAATGGGGGAAAGTGAAGAGAAACTAAAGAGCCTCTTGATGAGGGTGAAGGAGGAGAGTGAAAAAGAGGCTTAAACTCAATATTAAAAAAAAAACTAAGATCATGCATCTGTCCCATCATTTCAAGGCAAGTAGACAGGGACAAGCTGAAAGCAGTGACAGATTTCTTCTTCCTGGGCTCTAAAATCACTGCAGATGGTGACTGCAGCCATGAAATTAGAAGATGACTGCTTCTTGACAGGAAAGCTATGACAAACCTAGACAGTATATTAAAAATGTAAAGACATCACTTTGCTGACAAAGTTTTACATAGTTAAGACAATGGGCTTTCCAGTAGTCAAGTACAATGTGAGAGCAGGACAATAAAGAAGTCAGAGCATGGAAGAACTGACGCTTTCAAATGGAGGTGTTGGAGAAGATTCTTGAGAGTCCCTTGGACAGCAAGGAGATCAAACCAGTCAATCTTAAAGGAAATCAACCCTGAATACTCTTTGAAAGGACTAATGCTGAATCTGAAGTTCCAACACTTTGGCCACCTGACGTGAACAGCTGATTTTTTAGAAAAGATCCTGAAGATGCGAAAGATTGAAAGGAGAAGAAGGCCACTGAGGATGAGATGGTTGGATGCCATCACTGATTCAATGGACTTGAACTTGGGCAAATTCCAGGAGACGGTGAGGGACAGGGAAGCCTGATATGCTGCAGTCCATTGGGCAGCGAAGAATTGACAAGACTTGGCAACTGAATAACAAAAACAGATTTTCATATTCCGTGAGATATCAAAAACTAAACTCTACACAGATTTTTCTAAAAGCTTTTAGAAATGTTCAACAATGCCTTGCTTTTAACTGAAATGCTCCCCCCCACAATGGTAGATAAAATATACACAAATGAAATGGTTAAAAAACATATAAAACATTAGGTGATTTTTTTCAAAACAGATCTTAGGTTGGAAGGTATCTCTTGTTAATTAATTAACTCATTAACTCAATTTTAACTTAAAATCCCAGGTCTTCTACTTATTGGCTGTGACAGTGGGCAAGTTACTCAACCTCCTTATGGATTAGTTTCCTCATCCGTAAAGTGGGACTAATAATAATATCTACCTTATAAAGTTCTTGTGAGGATTAGCACTTAGAAAAATACCTGGCACAGAGAAGGCATTATAACGTCTGCTATTAATATTACATATAGCTTAGTGAGGAAAGAGCCATTGGTAAAACAGTGGTGCAAATATGCAAAGCTGTAATTCTGATAAGTGCTATCAGATAAAGGTTAACAGTGCTACCTAAGATTGATAGAGTTTGAAAGCTTCCCAGAGGAAAAAATGGAATGGACAGCTGAAGAATGGATAGTTATTACCAGGTTAAAAAAAAAGATTTCAGGAGAGAAAACTAGTTATGCATTCAATAAATATTCACTGAGTGCCTTTTATGTGTAAGGCATTTTTCTGGGTCTTGGAAGAGACAGTTAGAAGTGTAGATGTGGGTTCTTGTTTTAGATGGGAATGTTGTGAAAAGAGACCGAAGTGAGGGAGTGAGCAAGTAAGTGGCTCCCAGGCAGGAATACTACAGGGCAGCAAGTCCAAAAGCCTGCGGTAGGAAACAGCTTGCGCAGACGACATAAATGGCTGTGTGGTCAATTTGCTTAAATCTCATTTTGTTTAACCATTTAGTTTTATATGATTTTAATTCTATCTACAGCATCTAAAGAGATGCTCAGTTAAGCTCTGCTCAGTCCTGACTGTAGCTGGAGAGAACAAAAGGGAATGGAGAAGGCTGCATTAAAAAGATTAAGCTGGATAAAAGTGGGGCCAGATCTAGAAGATTTGAATGTCAGGTTATAGAACTTAGATTTGACTTTGCAGCTAATTGGGAATTAGTAAATGAAAAAATTATGCTCAATTATGTTCAAATATGCTGATGTCATTAGGAATTAATGAGGTTGTTCCTACATTAAAACATGATGACTGCTTTTTTTTTCTAACATGAACAAGTAAAAGAGACAGACATCCAGTTGATTCTGACTAAGGCACATAGAAATTACATTCCTTGACCATTTTTACTTAAGAAGTGGCAAAAGAAAAGACTGCATATTGTTATCTGTGCGATAATGTGTTACCTCAAAAATTATTTTCAGATGATCATTCAGAAGATAGTATCACAGTCTTTGTTCAGTTTTGCCATATCTACTTTCAAGTGATATCTGTTGAATCAAAAAAGCAAGCTGGTAGGATTTACCGGTGGGACTAAAACATTAAGGACAAACACAACACCATTTCTTTTATAATAGAAAGGTATCTCTAGAGTGGGTAGAGTATGAAAGAGAGTGATGAAGGGGCTTTAGTAGTAATCTATAAAATGATAGGGTTGGACTACATCGATAACTAATGTTCTTTTCTAGATCTAAATTTTATGATTATTGTGTATCACTAAAACATAACTGCTAATAGGACTATATGTTTCTACCTTTATATTCCTCCTTATCTCTTGCCGTGTGCTTGGTATATAGTTAAGTTCTCAAAACATCTGATTAATGAATAAACTAATTAGTAAGTAATAAAAGTAGACATGGAATTCAAAATAGCAATATAGCCATTTTTGGCAAACACATACTATACTTCTCTAAGAGAACCAACATACATGGTAGAGTAAAATGGTTGGCAATAACAAGAAATCATAATGAGGAACCTGAGGCATCAAAAAAAGATAAATAATATGCCCAATTTCTTTACAAAATTAGGAAAATGAGATCATTTTTATGTTAATTGTTGAAGATGGTTAAAACACTATCACTTAAATAAAGGTAACATCAGGAGAATGACTTACACAGAGAGCCTCATTCTTCTGCTATGTTTAAGGAAGCGGTGTTAAAACTAATTCTCTTCAACAGTTGCAAGTTGAACAGGCAAACAAGTTGAACAGTTGCAACCAAGTTGAACAGGCAAATCCTCATCTTATATCTAGCTACTGTTTTCCTAGATAAAATTTAAGCCAGTTAAGTCAAAGATCATATGAATATATAATAAATTTGACTTAATTCATCAATTGTATGTACTGATACCGTCTTCAAAAGAAATCAGATGATGTGATGTACTTCATCTTGTTCTGCTCCAATGACTTTCCAGCATATGAATAAAATACAAACTCTTTACCAGGTCCTATAGGATCTATACCTTACTCTGGTCTACTGTTACCCTCCCTCTCCATTACTGTTCAGTCGCACTGTCCTTCTCAGTGTTTGTTCAATACCTCAGTGTCATTCTGGCCTAACTTTCTCTTTTCTCTGCCTGGAAGGCTCTATCTTCAAGTATTTACAAATCTTAATCTATCTCAGTTCATCATTCAGGTTTTTGTTCAAATGTCACTTCATAGAGGTTTTCCCTAAAGATTTCATTCCAAACTGTATCACCCTGCCCTTGCCTCTCTAATTCCTTCTCAGTTTTATTTTCCTTCCTAGCATATAGACTACTTGGAAAATATGTATTATTTGGTTACATATTCATCCCTTAGTTCCCTTATAAAACACAAGCACTATGAGAGCTGGAACTTCATCTGCACTCCAGAACCTAGAAAAGGGCTTGTCATATATTTAGAAATTTTTACATACTTGTTGAATAAGTGAATGAATGAACTAATGAAGATTTTCAAGATATGTGTGCAAAAAATAAATGCAGAATAGTGGACATGGTATTCAACCATTTGTATTTTCAAAAGACATATACATACTTGTATGTGTGTGGGCTCTCTTAGGAAGATAACACAAGAAATTGAAAATACAGTTGCTTGATGGTGGGAAAATAATTGACAAGCAGGTTTACTTTCTCCTTATATTTTTTTGTACTATTTGGGTTTTAAACAAGTCTAGGTAATTTTTATCTCAAAAACAAAGCAAAAAATATTAAAATTTACCTTAAACACAAAGTTTCTCCTAATAACTTTGGAATACTTTTTCCTGAGCTGTTATTCTACAAATAGAAATGTGCTAAACAATTTACATACTTATTTAATCTCTGGAACAACCCTGTGATATAGGATTTTATATCACAGGATATGATACAAAATCATACCTATTTTAAATATAGAGAAACTGTAATACAGAGAGGTTAAGTTAACTGGCTGAAGTCACATTACTGGAAGCACAAGACATGAAATTTGAACTCTGACTGACTGAACCTAAAGTTCAAGTATTTAGTCATTCTCTCCATAGTGAGATAAATATAAAACTAAGAAATTTTCTGATAGAAGAAGTTAAACTATTTATTTCCACTTCTGACAGAAAGCTCAGGGCCTAATACTGGGGCTCCTGAAATGAATGTTGAAACAAAACTGGAAGTTCATTATTTTTCTGTGCCAGTTGGATAATGTAAGTATCTATTTTGAGAAAATGTTATTAATTGAGAACACTTGAATTAGGCGAATATGGTGATAATTAGTAATAATGAACAGTGGCTGTCATTTGAGTACACTCTGTATGCCAGGCATTATGATAAACATTTGACATTCATCATCTCATTCGGTCCTTAAAATATAAAGTAGACTCTACTACTGTCTCCAATTTACAAAAACAGAGACTTAGTTTTAGGATAAGGAATTTTTCCAAAATGACATAGCAATTAAATGAGAAGCCAGAATGTGGATCAAGGTCCAAATCTACAATCCATGTTCTTAGCAGCTATGCTTTATTGGAATCAAAACAAAAGGCTTTCAAAAATTGGAGCAGACGTGTTGTATAAATTTTCTTGAAGGTGTGGAGTAATACAGTTATAAATTATTTCTTAAATACAAATTCAAATTTGAATTTGATTCAGATTCCATAAACATTTTTTAGGACCAGGAACTACCTTCCACTTTATCATGTACAGTCTCTACTTAAACCTCTTATTGGAAATAACTTGAGTGTTAGAGCCACTGCTTCTAGTAACTTGCAAGCATCAAGGAAGAATGAAAATTTCAAATGGGGGGAAGGGCAGTACTAACATCTGGACTATCTTTTTCCTCCTAGTTTTCAGAGTTGACAGCTTAAAAGTCATTTTATTGTGTACCTTAATTGATTCAAGATATATTTAGAGTGGAACAAGATAAGTTTTTAAAATGAACTTTGTGTACTTGTAAATACTTGTTTAGTAACAGAAGAGAAGACAATTCCTACTGTTAAAAGGCAGATAATCTTTGTGTACTGAAACAAACAATTCCTACAAAATAGTAGAAAGTTAATAAAAAGCAGTATCTAGTCTTTGGATTTCATGTTCTCTGGCAACAAAGTTCATAAATACTTACCAAAATCCAAGATGGGGGCGCTGACCATGGTAGAATAACACTATCAACTGAAACCTGTAGAATGCCTAACACATCCTATCTGGTTGTTAAAAATTAGTAACCTATACACTATGCGACACAAATTTTCAATTCTGGCCAAATAATGTCATAAACAGCAGTCAGCCTTGACTTCTCTGAAACGGAGTGCCTAACGAACACTCCTCAAGGCGAATCTCGCAGAAACTTAAGAAGCAATGGTAGAAGAACTGATTCTCTGTGCTTTAAGTATTTCTCATTTGCAGAGCATCATCTACCAGTGTCTGTTACATAGCCTGGCTGATCCTCAGTAAACCCCAAATTAGTCACTGTTGGCAGGTTTTATCTTGATGCTACAACTGGGGCTCGGGGAAGGTTCCCAGCTGATCTTTGACAGGTTAACAGCAGAACCTCGCTGGACAAAAAGTTTGCAAGTTGGTGAACCAAGGCTCCTCATCTGATAGTTAAGCCTATAGTTAGTTATACTTCAAAACTAAACACTCTGTATATGGAGTCCGGAAGGAACTTTGCACTGTAAGGTACTGAACAGTTAGTGTTCTGCCAAAGTCTGGGAAAAGAGCCAGGATGCCCTTTAAAATTTCCGACTTCCTCAGAATTTCAGGTAGCAGACTCCTGATCTTTCTGCTGAGCCGTCGAGGACTCTCGTTCAGGCAGAGTCACATTCTAGTGCGTTCTCAAGTTCCTTCTTCCCTTCACTTTCTCCTCAAGGAACCTTAACCAGGCCCACCCGCAACCCTACACCAAAGCCGCGCTTAACGCTTCCGGGCTTGTCAACAAGCCCAGTTGGTCCTCTATTCCTGAGGCGGCGGGACCTCTCCGCTTCCAGCGAGATAGGTCATCCAAAAAAAGTCCCCGAGATCAGTTTTCTCCTCTAGCCTTACACTCACCTCAGGCCCAGAAAGTTTCAGGGACTCTTCACTCGATTGTCCGCCACCCGGTTATTCAAACTCAGCCTCGAGATTCAAACTCAAGCCAGCTTCCTCAGCGCCTCTTTTCATTGGCTGCCGTCTTCGTGACGTCACCACGCAGGACGTGGCCGTGGTGCGCTGCATTTGGCGCCAGGCGTCTTAGCGGCGCGGAGCACTAGAAGCTGCTTTACTCCGCGTCACCGTGGCAACGCGGAGGCTGTTTCCGGAGGCGTTGGCTGAGGTGGGCGGGGTTAGGCTGCAGCTGCAGGTGGGAGGCAGCCACCTGGGATCTTCAGGAAGCCTTCAGACCGCGGGCTCGGGCCCGGTCCCTGGGTTCAGGGTGTGAGTGAGACGAGTGCGGGCAGGGCTAGGCCATGCCCTCTGCTAGGGGAGAGGCGGAGCCTGTTGGGTATGGATTAATGGGTTTTGTGTGTTTACTTTCTCCTTTTCTCTTTTAAACAATGAGGCCTCCAAGGCACAGGTCCCGCGACCTGGAAGCTATAGGGGCCTGTTCCTTCCAGCCACTTTCATTTGGACAGAACTGGGGTCAATTCATCTAAATTAATCGAAAGTCCAGGACTTTTGGTTGGAGGCCCCAGGCTTCATTGCTCAGGAACCCCAGGCCCATTCCCTCAGTGCCTGCTGTCTGTCAAACTATTTGTTGTATGACTGTTTTTTCCATTTCTTTCTAAGATGACATTACAAAATAAATTTATTTAAATTTATTGGCCTAGTTCATTATTGGATTCAGTGGGCTTTTAAGTCCTGGGTTGTAGTTAGAATTTTAGAATGTAACTATAAAAAGAAAAATATATATATCTGGAAAAAAATGGCAGATGTGTTTGCTAAGAGAATTCATCGTTTGTTTCTCAGGATATTTTTAATGGTATGATCTGAATTTTTGTTTTTCTTATGTTACTATTGTTGTATCCATTCATTCAGCAGTTATTGATTGTATATTTTAAGGACATAATAGCACACAGTTGAGTCAAACTCCTGGCCCTCTTGGAGCTTATGTTCTAGTGATTCAACATCACCATATATACAGGATGGCACACCACTAAGTGTAGAGTATTATAAGTGAACAATGTAGGGGAAACCTTCATAGGCATTTATTTCATATTGAAGAAAATCAGAAGCACTTTGTATTGTATATGATACATAATATATGATTATTTCTGAGCACTGGATAGAGCATCAATCAAGCTACTAATTGCTGGCTGTACTAGATGGATCTTAGCTAGTGAGATAGTGATTTGTATGGTGCTGGGTTTGGTAGTAAAATTGAGAAGGCTTTTTATTTTATTTCATTTCAAATATGCACTCACTCTGTGGTACTTTACCTTTGATGTTCTGGGCATTTTATTAATTTTATATATACTATCTAATCACTTCCAAGTTTCAAAACAGCCCATGAGATGTATATACTATGTATTTTACTGAAAAGAAAACTGAAGTTTTCAAAAAATCTCTGAAGAAAAATGTTTCTTTTGAAGGGTACAACCCAGCCAATTCAGAATGGAGTCACTTGTTTCTGAAATACTTTCTAGATTAAGTGATATTAATATGATATCCTAATTTAGTCTGAAAATAGGCATGTTTTACCAATTCCTTGTAAAATTGTACTGATCATTGCTAAAGGAGAAGTGTTTAAATTTCTTCCTTTTCGATAGCCACATTGTATAAGGCTGAACCAATTTCATGGGTGTTTCTACACCTAATCTAGTGCTTATTTTACATTTAAATTCTGCATCACGCTGTTTAAAAGATTATGAAGTTCATATTCTTAAGGAATAAGAGAAATTTTAATGTTATAGTCAATGTCATTATAATGTTATAGTCAATGTCAATGTCTGGCAGCTGGCTTCTCTTTGATTAGCAAGTCAATAAGGAGTGTAATAGAACTGATAGGAAACTGGTGTATTTTGTAACGAAATGAAGGCAAAAGAACCAAAATTTTTCAAACACGTAGTGCTAAGGAGACAGAAATTCCCACCTTTTGTTAGGAATTAAGCGTATAACTAACTGCCGTCTTACTTAGAACACAGCAATTTAACAAAGGTTTAGAGTAAAATGAAAAGAGTGGAGAAAAAGATAAAATGGAAAGTTAGATTTGAAGTTGCATCAGCCACATAAAAAAGTAAAAGTGAATTTAAAGCTGGCAATGATAGGAATTTATATCCCACCCCACCCCCAGGAACACCTTTTGGAGCCCAAGCGCCTGCGGGACCCTTTGGCAGCTGGGGACTGGAAGCAACGGAACCAAAGGCAGACGGTCCTCGGTTGCTGGGGCGGACGTGGGCCCAATCTGTCCGTCCTCGCAAGTTTCCCCCAGGGCTGGGACCTGGGCGAGCGGCAAATTCAGAATTTCCCGGACTGTAGTGTTTGTCGCAGGCCCGAGTTGGAGGCTAACTGAGAAATCTTCGTTCCTCAGGTGAGGAGAAGGTGGTCGAGTCCCGGGAGCTCCTTTGGAACCCGCTCCACGCCTGTGGGGGAACTTCCAGGGGACGACGGATTCGCCCCGCGCAAAGGAAACTCCGCCTCTGCTCTCACGCTTACTCTCCTCAGCACTCTTTTCATACCGAGTTCAGAAGTTTCTAAACAGTTTCCCTCGTCCGAGTGTAATTCTTACGCAAAAGAATGGATTTTTTTTTTTCCTTCTTCTTCTTCTTTAGGACCTTTTTCACGTTCTCTGCGTTCGGTTGCCAGCCTCCATGTCGACTTTTTGGCTTTAGGAATTAAATTTCCAAAGAGTTTTCTCTGTAGGGGGAGCTGACTGCAATGATGGTAATTGGTAGTACCGTTGAGGAAGTAGTTTTCAAAGGTATCGCTCACCTTTATGTTCCCACGTTTAAAAGAGTAACCAGGCTAATTCCGTGGTCTCAGCCGCTTAGACTGAATTTTGCTGGTAGGCTTAAATGGCTTACCTAGGAAACCACAGAGTTGGCTCTAGAGCTTAGATTTCCTGATATCCTGCTTCTTTAATGTAAACAGAGTGAACCTAAAACTATCTTAAATCTTTCAGGGTGGCTGGTTCTTAGCATACTGCAGGAGTGCTCTGAGTTACCTGGTAGGAGATTGGGCTGCAGAAGAGAGGGGATTTCCTTTAGAGCTTGCCCCCTTCCATTTTTAGGGACATGTTAAAAAACACAACCAAAGAGGAACGTTAATTACTGAAATGTTTTCTCTGTGCTTACTCAGGTTAGTAGCCAATTCATGCATAATAAACTCTACAGGCTTTGTACCTTGAATATATTTGAGTAAATACAAAGAAATTGATTGCAGAAGAAAATTCAATGCTGTTGAAAACTTCTTTTTTTTAAATCCTACTTGCCTTTCCCTGCATGGTTCTGATTCTGATATTGGAATTGATGGACTTTTTTATTTGTTCGATTGCTTGTTTTGTTAAAAAAAATTATCCAAAATCTGAACATCCAGTTTAGATTGTTTACATGTATTGGATAAGCAGAATAATAGAATCAGTTTTAGTTGTATTGTTTAAATACTCCAGATTCCAGTATTTAGGGCTGTGCATCCTTACAGGGTCTTCTGTTGGGAGCCACACGGTATACTGTGTTTCCAGGTGGAGTAGACCAACAGTAGGATACTGGCTCCTTAAAAAAGATGTCTAATTCATGGCATACTAAAAATACATAGTCAGTGTAATCAAAGTATCTTTCAATTACATGACTGTATTAAATAAAGCCAGTCGGCTGTGTTTATAACATATAGGTTAAGATAAACAATTCTGGGGAAAGAATGCTGGTGTTACAGTTCTAGCTTTATGACTCTCCAGCTGTGTGACCTTTTGCAGATTACTTCTCTGTTTTCTCCTCTGTAAAATGGAAATAATAATAGTACCTACCTCTAAGTGCTGGAGTAACGATTGAATGAGTTAGTACATATAGTGTGCTTGGACTAGTAAGTGGTACTTAGTAAGTGCTCAATAAATGTTAGCATTTATTTTGAAATATGTTAGAAATGCCAAGTTAGAGCATAGTTTGGCTTGTGTAAACTTTCTGGAAAGCATAAGGCATAATTCATAATCTGGCTAATTTGTTAACTGCTGAACAACTAAAATTGTTACACTGTTATATAACATTATATAGCATTTATATATATAGTTGTTATACAGATGTTATACTGAACATCTAAAATTAAAACACTCATTTAACAAAATTTTTTGGCATAGTTTTTCTGTGTCATATTTGCAACATAATTAGTGAATTATGTCTTTGGTACAGTTGACATTTTATCCTCACAGTTACATCTTACTGATACTATATACAATATCAAATATATATTTTTATTTTACAATTATTACATGTAATTGACTTCTCAACATTATTCTTCATTTTCTATTGCAAAAGGAAGTTAAGGCATACTTAAGCAAAATTTATCTTTCTTGGCTATTTTGAGAATTTGGTTTTTTGTAGGGTTAGGGAGACAGGTGAAATTTCTAAAGCAAGGTTTGATACAAACATTAATTCTGTAGAATCTGGAATTTATCGAACCAGTTTTTTTCCCCCCAAGAAAACAAATGTTGAGCACCTAGTATGCATCTAATTTTGTGGATATAAAGGTGTGGTTCTAACTTCTGAGTAACTCATAATTCATGAGGAAGGAAGAGTAGTGTTAAATTGTTATTTATTGTAATAATGTCAAAAATGTTGTTTGCAACCACAAACAACATTTGGAGTAAAGAGCATAATATTTTCAAAAGGTATTCTGTTAATATATTTCATAAATTATGTTTTTTCCTCTTCATTTTAGAGTTGAACATTCCAGAATAAAATGGAGCAAGTTAGAGGGAAAAAAAAGAATGTATCAGTCATTTACTTGATTGTTTGTTGGGGGCAGGGAACAGACAATTAAAACAGTGTTGGATGTGAAATGTCAAAGTGTGTTCAATGGAGTGTTTATAAAGTATAGTTTAAAATGATATATATGTCACTGATACAGGGCATGGTGAGATGATTTTGTCAAAAATTATCCATGACAAATCTATAAGGTTTTTTTCACAGACTGATAACCTCTTTTTCTTTTCGGTTGTACATGCATAGCTTTTTTTCAGTTTCTCAAAGTTAAATTGAAAATTAAGATTTAGCATTATGTGAAAAACAATTAAAAGGGCTTGAAATTAAAGAACATGTGAACCTAAAATAGAATGATATTTATAATCCCTTCAGCCGTCTAGATAGCTTTTTCAGATTAATGGTTTTGATGCATTGAACCCATTCTTTAGACTTAATTAAAATTCAAAAAAACATATTTCAGAAAATTATGATTAATAAATATTCATATCTCTGATGGTTAAAACATTAATGGTCTTAGAGCTTATCAGGCCACTTTAAAAATTATATTTTCAAATAGTCTCTGGGGTTCTCTTGGGTTCCTTGCCTTATGTAAGGAGGGTAGTCACCGTCACTGGTTTGAAATGATGAGTTTTATGTATTTTTCATGTGGTAAATATTGCATACTAATTTGCTTTCCCCCAAGTGTTATAACATTCGTTAAAAAAAAATCCAACAATCATAATTTTAATTTTTTTCTAGATTTGTTGATCTACAGAATGCTTCGATACCCATATTTTTGTAGAATCCATAAAAATTTTCTTTCTTGCCGGTTGGAATCTGGCATATTTAATTTGGGTGTCTGGCCAAAAAAAATACATGCTACAGCAGAAAGATATAATGAATATGAAGCCCAGGAGGAAACAGATCAAACTGGAGTTGAGGAGTTACACAGATCTCAAGATAGAGATTCTGAAGTGATGACTAAGTTACATATTCCAGTGATGGTGGATGAAGTTGTTCGTTGTTTGGCACCACAAAAAGGGCAGGTAAGTTGATTAATCTTATATTTTCTAACACTTTTTACTTGAAATACAATTCACTTAATGTTCACATTTAAATGGTTTTTAGTGTATTTACAAGGTTATACAATTATCACCACTGTATAATGCAAGAACATTCTTATTATCCCAGTAGGAAACCCCAAACCTGTTAGCATTCACTCCCCATTGATTCCCTTCTCCTTGTGCCTGACAACTTGCTGATCTATTTTTTTGTCCATATGGATTTGTCTGATCTGGACATTTCATATCAGTGAATTCATGCAGTTTGTGATCTTTTCTGCCTACCTTTTACTTAGCATGTTTTCAAGATTTATCCATGTTGTGATGTGTGTCAGTAATTATTTCTTTTTATTCCTGAATCATTCCATTGTATGGATATGATTTTTTTTTTTAATCCATTCGTCAATTGATGAGGTTTATGTTTCCATGTTTAGACTACTCTGAAATGCTGCTATGAACATTCATGTAAAAGTTTTTGTGTGAACATGTATTCAGTTCTTTTGGGCATGTGCCTTGGAGTAGATGCTGGGTCATGTGCTAACTCTATGCCTAACTTTTTGAGAATCTGGCAAACTGTTTTCCAGAGTTGGTTAGTTTCATCAAATAACAGTTTTAAAAGGAAAAGAATATCATATTCTATGTGGTTAGGATATGAAAATGAAATTCTATTATAGCTTCTTGAGAATTTTAATCTTTTTAGGAATGACTGGAGACAAAGGTAGAAATTTCAATTCCCATCCCATTTTCTTAGGCTAAGTTTTCAGCTATGCTGCTGTCTTACTGAGAATTCTCCAGAGAAATAGGACCAACAGGATGTGTTGGGGAGGCGTGAGTATATATGTGGTTGTTAAAAGAGAAGGAGAGGTTGATTGATTTTAAAGAATTGCCTCAAATGACTATAGAGGGTTGGTAAATTCAGAATCTCCATAGTAGGCTGGCAGGCTGGAGATTCACTTACGACTTCCAGTTTGAGTCCAAAAGCAGTTGACTGGAAGCATTTCTCCCTGTTCCAGGGAGGGCAGTGGTTGTTCTATTAAGGCTTTCCAGTGATTGGATGAGACCAACCCATTTTTTTGGAGGATAATCTACTTTACCTGGTCCAGTAACCTGTGAAGTAGAGAAATAACCAAAGAAAAACAAACCCCATAAAATCTCCTCCTAATTCAGTATTGTATCTGCCTTTTTTCAAAAACCAAGTGGAATAAAATTAGGCAATTCTATAACTTGACCTACCCTGCTGTTTCATTGTTTAAGTTCCTGATAAATGTAATGTTGGTTTGTTTTTATGTTTCTATTGTTCTAATTTGAGTTGAGTTTTCTAGTTACTTTTTATTGAAAGTTTAATTTTATGAATGTTATTTCTGAGAACTTTAATGTGAGGTACACTTAGAGACAATGTTATTTCTTACCTTTTCTGCTGTCTGGCAGACAGCTTTATTCACTATTCCCTTAATCTTCAAGTAATAAAGAACTGCTGACAGTCCTTGGACAGGAAAGGTCTTCATTCTTCCAGAATCCATTATTTGCTGCTTTTCTTTCTGAGCCTTTTCTCCAAAATCATATTCCTTTGCAAACTATGAGTCATACATTCACCTGTATCAATCACCCACTTAATTACTGTTTTTCACATCACCTTCAATGATAAATTTACAAATGAAACTCTTGATCATAATAAGAACTTTAAAAAAATCTACATGTAGTTTTGAGTGAGGCCTTGATAATTTAATAATTATTTCCTTTTCTTTGATATTTAAAAGATGCTTACTTAAAGAAAATAATTGGTTTTGGGAATTTCTTCTTTATCATAGCCTATTCACTACATATATTAATTGTGCAAATATTTATGAGTTTGAATTAAAAGAAAAAAGAATTGCTCATATTTTTTTCTCCCTTAGGGCTTCCCTGGTGCTCAATTGGTAAAGAATCTGCCTGCAATTCAGGGGACCCCGGTTCAATTCCTGGGTCGGGAAGATCCGCTGGAGAAGGGATAGGCTACCCATTTCGGTATTCTTGGGCTTCCCTTGTGGCTCAGCTGTTAAAGCATCTGCCTGCAATGCAGGAGACCTGGGTTCAATCCCTGAGTTAGGAAGATCCCCTGGAGAAGGGAAAGGCTACCCATAGGGTCACAAAGGGTCGCATACAGCTGAGTGACTTTCACTTTCACTTTTTCTCTTCCTTGGGAGTTACTCTTTGTGACCTTGTGGACTGTAGCTCACCAGGCTCCTCTGTCCATGGAAGTCTCCAGGCAAGAATACTGGAGTGTGTTGCCATTTCCTTCTCCAGGGGATCTTTCTGACCCAAGGATCGAACCCGGGTCTCCTGCACTGCAGGGAGACTCTTTACTGACTGGGCCACCAGGGAAGCCTTGGGAGATACAGAAGGAATTAAACAAATTATAATTCTTTCTCCTTTCCCATTTTTCATTATTTCATATTCTGGGAGAGTAATTTTTTGTAAGAAAGTACTACTTGTTCTAAAGACATTTTTCTTGCTCTTGAAGATGTTTTAGTATAGGCTACCCTGGTCAGTCTTTTATTCCTAATTTCTGAAAACTGGAGACAATAAGCATGATCCTGTCTAGCTGAAGATGATAGCAGTTCAGAGGATATAGGAAACTTTGTATTCTTTGCCCAATAATGTTGCTAATGTAGCTTGGTGCCTTGAGGGTTTCTGTAAGAGTGATAAGTTACGAGGGACATGATGGTCATGCAAGGACTAGTACCAGTAGCTATGTAATTTCCTACAAGTTGCTTACCGTGGCTCTACCTCTGATTCCTCATCTGTGATATGAAGTACAACCTGTCTCATATGATCATTGTGAGGGTTAAATGAGTTCATTTATTTAAATTGCTTAGAATGATATCTTCTGAGTAGTATAAGCTCAGTAAACATTAGCTGATACTATTATGGGGATTAAAAAGGATCAGCATTAGTAGCTAGATACAATAATATTAAGGAGAATATGTAAAATAGACAGCTAATGGGAAGTTTCTTATAACACAGGGAGCTCAAATCAGTGCTCTGTGACAAGCTAGAGGGGTGGGATGGGGTGAGGGGTATATGAGAGGATTAGGAGGGAGGGGACATATGTATACTTCGGTGTGATTTACATTGTTGTATGGCAGAAACCAACACAACATTGTAAAACGTAAAAATACAAAAATCATGGGAAAAAAATTAGGAGAGAAGTGCTAGGAGACAGCAATAGTGGAAATAAAAGTACCAACAAAGGTGAAACCAACATGTTTGCAGCTGGAAAGTACTGTTTCTTATGCCTTGAACCATTCTTCAGGTCTTGAGTTAAATTTTACTTTCTCAGGGAAGCTTTTCCAGAGCGTACAGAGGAAGATCGTCTCCTGGTTAACATATTCATGGAGTCGTACACTTTTCTTTCCTAGCATTTATAATTTTTTTTTAAATGAGATTATTTGTTCACTGGATGTCTTTCCTAGCAGACTGCCCTCCATGAAAGTCGTGGACATTTTGATCTTGTCTACCATTATGTTTACAGGGCCTAGCATAAGGACTGTAACATGGTGGATTTGTAATGATTTTTAAGTCAATGGATAAAAGTCAGAGTAAACTGGAGCACAGATGTGAGGGACAGATAAAAGGAATATCCCTCAAGTACTAAGGGAGCTTCTCAGGCTCAAGACTTTTCTTTGAGTCCAGCCTCAGTGTGGCAGGCCCAGTCTGAGGAAGCAGCTGGAGAAATCTGGTAAAGGAACAGATAGGAGGACTGAGAAAATGAGTTGGTGTTTAATTGATGCAGAATAGATTATGATAAATGTCAGGCTAAAGTTGTAAGGTTGGGTTTCTAAATACTCAAAATAAGTGTTTTATCTATTTTGATATTCTAACATTTAATATTAATTTCATTGTTGCTTGATTTGCTGAAGTTGTCATGGTATAAGGTATACTTTTCTTTATAAAAATGCATTATACTCTATATAATGGATTTTCCCTAACATCAATAGCAGCATTTCACTTGTTTTACTTTAAATCTTTATAATCTTTAAATAGAGATTGAGCATAAAAGAGAAGATCCTGGGACTATAGATTTACTTTCTTTAAATATTAAAAGCTGATCAGTCTCAGAAAGAAGGAGCTTATTTTGTTTGACCTCAAATTATTGAGAAAGTTAGAAACTTCTATAAGAGAGAGGCCCTGTACCATAGCACATATATGAAGATGCATTTTTTCTAAAGAAAGGACTATATAAATTTCAGATGAAATGGACTGTGTTAATATGTAGTTGTTTCCTCGCCTTTATTTTTCAACATATAGCTTTCTTGGAAACAGATTTTTATTTTAAATTTTATTCTGCCTTTGTTTATTTGGAAAGTGATTCTGTTTTAAAGCATCATGGAGCTAGTTAAATGACCTTTGTAATCAAAATACCTTCAGAAGTGTGATATTTCCAGTGTTGTACTGGTAAATATTTAACACCTTGTCTGTTGGTCAGGGTGGAGTATGGATTTCAAAAAAAGAAAAACCCCAATTTATTTTGTTTGCAGATTTTCATGAAATACAAATTCCTATTATCGCCCGTTTCAAGCTAGTAACCTGGTATCATTGAATGTACCATTAGGAAGAAGTGTGTACAGTTGGCTGTCTCCAGCCCGTGTGAATGACACTGGATATGACTGTCACCATTGATGCCGTTAGATATATGTAGGTTATATAATGGCAAAAAATTTTGGCTGACAATTCTGAAAATTAGTATAGTCTGTCAATTTTTCCCTTAGCTTATTTGACATTCCCTACTTAAGATCTGTATTTTGTGTTTCTCTACCCTGAAAGGTACCATGGTATAGCCATAGAATACTGTTTTCATTTACTTTTTTAGCAGTGACATTCTTTTTTTCCTCTAATAAACAATCCATCCCAAATATAAAACAGGTTAAAAATGGTATTCTGTAGTATGACTTTGTTTATATGATTTACTGGTGCTAGAATCCATAATGAATTATAACCGTGAGACATTTTGTTGAGTGCAAAAACTTTGAAATTAGCATCATTGTCCTTTTATTTTTTGCACAATTTGAATTCACATCGATAAATAAATATAAAATGTAATAGTTTTGTTTTTTAAAGTTGTCCTGCAATCTCACCTTGATTTTTATTTCTGTAGAAGTAGTAAGATAATTTTAATTAAATCAAAGAGGGCATTTTAGTAATAAACATATAATTAAAGTTTCAATACAGTGATAAAGCAGTTATAAATATTTTTGTACCTAATTTCAGACCACCAAAATAAATGAAGCGAAAACTATGGGAATTGAGAGGAGAAAGAGACAGTACTACAGAAATAGTTAAGAGACTTCAGTACCTACTCACAATATTCTATAGAATAACCAGACAGTATTTAAATAAGGGAATAGAGAACTTAACACAATAAACCAGTTGTTTAAGACATACAGAACACTCTACTCAATATCAGCAACATACACATGTCTTGAGTACACATGGGATATTTTCCAGGATAGAATGTGTGTTAAGCTATAAGTTCAGTCTCAATAGATTGTAAAAGATATCATTCAGAGTATCTTCTCCAGTCACAATGGGATAAAATTAGAAATCAGTAGCAGAATACAATCTAGTAAATTCATGAATTTGTGGAAGTTAAGTAAAACATTCTTAAACAACCAATAGATCAAAGAAGAAATCACAAGGGAAACTAGAAAATACATAGAGATGAATGAAAACAAAATCACAATATACCAAAACTTAAGTTACACAGTGAAGGAAGTCGTAAGGGAAAAATTTATAGCTATAAGTGCCTAGATAAAAAAACAAAGTTCTCAAATCAGCAACCTATCTGTACAACTAAAGGAACTAGGAAAAGAAGAGCAAATGAAACCCAAAGTAAAATGGTGGAGAGAATCAATGAAACCAATTTTCAGGGACCAACAAAATTGACCAGTCAATTGTTCCATACAAGGTTCTAACTGTTGCTTCTTGACCAGCATTTAGGTTTTTCAGGAGTATGTAAGATGGTCTGGTATTCCCATTTCTTTAAGAGTTTTCCACACTGTCTTATGATCCACAAGTCAAAGGCTTCAGCGTAGTCAATGAAACAGAGGTAGATGGTTTTTTTTTAGTTCCCTTGCTTTCTTTATCATCCAGTGAATCTTGGCAGTTTAATCTCTGGATTGAGAAAGGAGTACGACAAGGCTATTTATTGTCACCCTGTTTGTTTAACTTATATGCAGAGCACATCATGAGAAATGCTGGGCTGGATGAGTTACAAGCTGGAATAAAGATTGCTGGGAGAAATATCAACAACCTCAGATATGCAGATGATGACACTCTAATGGCAGAAAGTAAAGAGGAACTAAAAACTTCTTGATGAGGGTGGAGGAGTAGAGTGGGAAAGCCGGCTTAAAACTAAATATTGAAAAAACTAAGATCATGGCATCTGGTCCTAGCACTTCATGACCAATTGAAGGGGAAAAGGTGGAAGCTGTGACAGATTTCCTCTTCTTGGGCTCTAACATCATTGTGGATGGTGACTGCATCTGTGAAATTAGAAGGTGATTGCTTCTTGGTGGGAGAGCTATGACAAACCTAGACAGTGTGTTAAAAAGCAAAGACATCACTTTGCCGACAAAGGTCTGTATAGTCAAGGCTATGGGCTTTCCAGTATTCATGTGCAGTTGTGAGAGCTGGACCATAAAGAAGGCAGAGTGCTGAAGAATTGATGCTTTTGAACTCTGGTATTGGAGAAGACTCCTGGGAGTCCCTTGGAAAGCAAGGAGATCAAACCAGTCAATCTTAAAGGAAATCAACTATGAATACTCATTGGAAGGATTGATGCTGAAGCTGAAACTTCAATACTTTGGCCACCTGATTCGAATAGCTGACTCATTGGGAAAGACCCTGATGCTGGGAAAGATTGAAGGCAGAAGGAGAAAAGGGCGAGAGAGGATGAAATGGTTGGATGGCATCACTAATGTAATGGACACGAACTTGGGCAAACTATGGGAGATGGTGAGGGACAAGGAGGCCTGGCATGTTGCAGTCCATGGGGTTGTGAAGAGTCAGATGCGATTTGGCAACTGAACAACAGGAACAAAAACAATATTGACAGTCTTAGCTAGAAGGATGAAGAGAAAAAGAAGACTCAAATTAACAAATTGAAAATGGGGTGATAGCCACCAATTCTACAGAAATAGAAAGGTTTATATGAAAGTTCTAAGAACGATTGTATGCCTACAAATTTGATGGTGGTTTAGTTGCTAAGTCGTGTCTGACTCTTGTGACCCCATGGACTGTAGCCCATCAGGCTCCTCTGTCCATGGGATTTTCCAGGCAAAAATACTAGAGTGAGTTGCCATTTCCTTCTCCAGGGGATCTTCCTGACCCAAGGATTGAATCCGGGTCTCCTGCACTGCAGGCAGATTCTTTACCGACTGAGCCAGCTTAGATTAAATGGTTAAATTCCTAGAAACAGCAAGACCTACCAAGACTAAATCAAGAAGAAATAGAAAATCTGAATAGACCTATAACTAGTAAGGACATTGAATCAGTACTCAACAATCTCTTGACAAAGAAAAGCCCCAGCCCCAATGGCTTCACTGGTGAATTCTAGCAAACATTCAGTGGCGAATTAGTATGAACCCATATTAGACTTTTCTGAAAAAACTAAAGAGGAGGGAATGCTTTCTATCTCATCCTATAAGGCCAGCATATTCTTGATACCAAAGCTAGACAGAGACACTACAAGCAAAGAAAACTACAGACTGATATCCCTTATAAACATTGACACAAAAATCCTCAGCAGATACTTGTAAACAGAGTTCAGCAGCACACTTATAGAATTATACACCATGACCAAGTAGAATTTATTCCTGAAATGCAGTGTTTTCATCAAACAAAAAAAATTGATCAATGTTATATGTCACATCAACAAAATGAAGGAAAAATAAAAAGCATGTAATCATCTTAATCGATGCAGAAAAATCATTTTACACAAAACTTACCACCTTTTCATAATAAAAACACTCAACAAGCTAGAATAGAAGGAAAGTACCTCCATGAATTAAAAGCCTTATATGAAAAACCCACAGTAAATATGATACTCAGTAGTGAAATACTGAAAGAGTTTCCTCTAAGATCAGGAACATGACAGTGATGCCCATTTCACCAACTCTATTCAACAAACTACTGGGAGTTCTCGCTGGAGCAGTTAGGCAAGAAAAAGAAACAAAAGTCATCCATATTGGAAAGGAAGAAGTAATACTATAACTGCAGATGATACGATCTTATACATAGAAAACGCTAGAGATCCCACATACAAGAAATAGCCCAAATCAAAACAAAAAGAACTCATAAATTAGTTTAGTGAAGTAACAGCATACAAAGGCAGCACACAAAAATCTATACATGAACAATCAACAATCTGAAATGAAAATTATGATATGGTTCCATCTGTAATAGCATTGAAAAGAATGAAGTACTTAGAAATAAATTTAACCAAGGAAGTGAAAGACACATACAATGATATCTACAAGATATTTGCAAAAAAAAAAAATTAAAAAAAAAAAACACACGTCATGTGTTCATGGATTAGAATACTTAATATTGGGGGGAGGTAAGTCCCAACGGCCCTTGGAGCTGCAACCGCCTTTTGCGCCCTTCTTGCCGACACCATGCTCCAGTTCTTGCTTGGATTTACTCTTGACAACGTGGTGGGAATGTTTCTGGCTCAAAACTATGACATACCAAACCTGGGTAAAAAACTTGAAGAAATTACAAAAGACGTGGATGCTAAGAAGAAACCCCCTAGTTGCTGAAGCCAACTCCAGCACTGCCTTCTGGATAAACTGAGTCTACTGTTCTCCAGGGCCTCCTTTACCATCTGAATCAAAAGCTTTTGTTTTAATCTCCATCCTCAGCAGTTTTCTTTTTCGCTAGACATTGCATTGCCTTACAGCACAAAAGGGACCAGAAGTTAAGAGCGACCCTTATTTCTCCAACATCCTCACTTCTTCCCTTCCTCCTTCCAGCCTCTTGGGAGGTCCTGAGAATGGAATCATGGTGCTCGATTAGTTATCATACCTTTAGTTAGTAGTCTCTCCCTTATTCTTTGAGATTTCTACTACCTTTTTCAAAAGAAAAATGAATGAGTTTTGTGTAGTTGATGAGATCTAAATAATGCGTGTTTCAGAGTCTGATAATTATAATGGGTTTTTAAACATTTGGTACTAAATTATGTTGTTTCACAGTAGTAATTAAAATGAAAATCTGGAAGCTAGTTTCTGTGAATTATCCACTGATTTTATATCATCAGGAAGCTCCATAGTTGCTAATTTCACCAATAAATCAATTTACTATTCATTAACCAAGAAACTGTGTTCTGAGAACCCTATCAGGAATTGGGGAATTTAAAAGTATTTAAAATAATGGTCTTTGTCTTCAGTAGAATTCATAATCTAGTGTGCCTCTTTTTTTCTAGATGTATTTGATCTGGCTCTTTTCAGTCATGAGAATCATAGTTAATGGGACTACAGGTACCTTTGACATTACATGGTAGATCTATGAGAAATTGTTAATAAAGGAAATTTTCTGCATTTTTGCATTAAAAAAATATGTACATTAAAAAAATAGAATACTTAATATTGCTAAAATGTCATGTGACCCAAAGCTGCCTACTGATTCAATGAAATGTGTTCCAAAATCTTAATGATGTTATCTTAGAAATAGCAAAATCCATCCTAAAATTCGTATCGAATCTAAAGGAACCCTGAATGGTCAAAACAATCTTGAAAAAGAGCAAACCGGGAGAACTCATGTTCGCCAGTTTCAAAACTTACTGCAGAAGCACAGCAGGCATGCGAGTGTGCTGGCGGCGTCCAGTCAGACGCGTGGACCGACGGGCTGCGAGAGAAACCTGAAAGGAGCGCTCACGCATATGGCCAAGTGGTTTTTGACAGGGGCGCCTAGCACATTCAGTGGGGAAAGGGCATGCTTTTTAATAAATAGTGCTGAGAAAACTGGATATCCATGTAGAGGAGAATTAAGTTGGACTCTACATAAATAAATTTGCTCAAAGTGGATCAAAGGTCTAAATGTAACACCTAAAACCATAGCACTCGTAGAACAAAAACTTCATGACATTGGATTTAGCAGTGATTTCTTGGGTAGTGAAAGAAAGGTAGTGAAAGAAAAAAATAGATAAATTGTACTGCATGAAAATTTAAAAAAATTTGTGCATGAAAAGACACTACCAACATAATTGAAAAGGTGACTTATAGAATGGGAAAATATTTGCAAATCATATATCTGATATCAATTTAATATGCAGAATATATGGAAAAAATTTAAAACTCAACAGTGCAGAACAAACAACCTGATTCAAAAATGGGCAAAGAACTTGAATAGACATTTCTCCAAAGAAGAGATACAGATGGCCAAATAAGCACATGAAATGATTCACAAAGATCATAAATTAGGGAAATGAAAATCAAAACTACAGTGGGATACTACCCCACAACCATTAGAATGACTGCTGTCAAACAATGAGAAAACAGCAAGTGTTTGGTGAGGATGTGGAGAAATTGGAACCCTTGAGCACTACTGATAGAATATAAAATGATACAGATGCTGTGAAAAACAGTTTGCCACTTCCTCAAAAAAAATTTAAAGCAGAATATTATGATCCAGCAACTCCATTTCTGAGAATATGTACTCAATTGAAAGAAGTTTCTTGAAGCAAAATATTTGCACACCCATGTTCATGGCAGCGTTCACAATATCTAGAACAGGGGACTAACTCAAGTGTTCATTGATGGGTGAAGAGAAGCAACATATGACCTACACATATAACAAGGTATTATCCAGCCTTACAAAGGGAGATTCTTCAGTATGCTACAGCATGGATGAACCATAAAGACATTTTGATAGATGAACAAGTCAGTCATACATACTAACTATATGATTCCACTTATAAGAGACACTTAGTGTAATCAGTATCGTGGAGACAGAAAGTAGAATGGCAATTGCTAAGAGCTAGGGAAGAGAGGAATGGGGGAGTTATTGTTTAATAAGTATGGAGTTTGAGAAGGTAAAATGAGTTATGTAATGGATGGTAGTGATGGTTGTGTAACACTACGGATGTGTTTAATACCTAACCATTGAAAGCTACACTTAAAAATGGTTAAGATGATTAGGTTTTATGTTGTTTGTTTTAGCATAATAAAAATTTGCTTAAAAAATGCAAGTTACTGATTTGAAGAAAACACACTTTTT